CAAAAAAAAAAAAAAAAAAAAAAAGAAGAAGAAGAAAAATAATACACATCGTAATACTTCGCACAGAGCGTATTCAGTTATATTTCGTTGACGTCACTTATTCTTCAATAATTCTAAAATTAGGATATCGATGCGAATATTTAAAAAAAAAGAGAGAGAGAGAAAAGCTTTGGAACAACAATAAAAGTTTCTTTTCGCGTAGCTTTTTATTCGTGTCGTTGTTGAACACGTTGAGGTTCGAAAGTTCGTGAAACGTGGATTTCGATGAATAAAGAATTTCATCATTCGTTAGGAGAACGTACGTGTAATATATCCCACGATTAAAATATTATTCACGATAACTATTTCGTAGCCGACTCGAAGATAATTCAATAATGATGATAACCGGCGTACCTGCATCGATCGATATATTAATCCGATTATATAAGCCGCTTGAACGCATAAAGGCTCTAAACCAGGTGAACGCTTCTCTCTTCTGCCCCGTAACAAAAAAAATTTCCCCCACTTGGAAAGAGAAACTTTTCATGGGAAATATAATCCACACCTTTCGCGTTATAGGATCTCGTTAAAGGTTTTGTTTCTCTTACGTCGCGTCCAGATTAATTAGAAACTGTTCGCAAGTAGTTCTCGAGTTGTTCTACTTAACAATGATTTATTGTGTACTCTTATATATTTTTGCAATTAAAAATTTCTCTTGAATAGAAATTACTTGATATATACTAAATATTATAGGTCTAATGTTTTATGTATTATATACTCTTATATGTATATAATATTTTTATATTATCATATTACACATATTATATATTGTATTATAATATATATTACAATATTCTTATACATTTTTGCTATTAAAAATGTCTTTTAAATGAATCAACGTCTACTAATGAGTTCAATGAACACGATTCAGGAATTGCACGCGAACAAGTGTGGACACCGCTTAATATCGAGTCTAGTTTGAATTACATCTATTTGTCCGTCTATTTGTAGAAGCAATATTCGAATGAATCGGTGAATCGATCGATTGTTGCCACTCGGTTGTTCGATCGGTTGCCAAAAATAAAATCCGCCACCTCTTCGACTGCTTTTTAATCTGCCATCGGTACTCGACATGTCCGGAAACCCTGATTTACCTTTTTGAGCACGCGCCCCAAATCGAAGCACACGTAGTCCGGACACAAAATGATTATACTGTTATTAAAAAATTTCGCTCATGTAGAGAAATTTTCTATGAAGCTTGTTCTATTAAAATTGACAAAAATCATTAACGGATTTGTGAATTTTTATCCATTTATGGAAAATTGAAACAGAAAAGATATATACAAAATATTTAAAGTATAATTTCTATATAATAAAATATTTTTATAGCATTCCTCTAATATCCATCTATACCTAATTTTCCATCGGCGTTCTATTTTCTTAATTAAAATATCAATTCCATCATAAAAATCCATAGACTAACAGAGAAAATGAGTCAAAATTCTCAATTATGTAAAATATCATTATCGAGATTTCGTCGGTCGATAAAATTCAGTAACGAAGAGAATGAATAAAGAGCTTCCAGTTGTGAAAGACACGTTTCAGAAGTATCAATGTTTTTACGCGCATGCAATTGTATCGGATATCGTATTGAGAGAGGAAGCTATTTATGTAAGTGATCCCTTAATTAATCGGACCAATATAGAACAAAATATATCGAGTGTATCTACGTTTGGAAATAAGTCACGAATACAGCTGCTGGACGTCGGGATAAATCGGTATAATTGAGATCGGGGTGTCGGCGCCGATAATTCAGAATAACAGAACACGATGAAAGTTGCCCGTGACGTTGAAACGTAAAACCAACGAAACGCCAACGCGAGCTTGTCATGAACCAACATCCTCGTTGTTCCTTTGAAGGTCTTAACCTCCCTGAAAGGTCAACCCTTAAGAGATACGTACGGTCAAGTTAATTCAAATATCAGAAGAGTTCACATTGATATTAACTTTCCCTTTTTTTTTTTTTTTTTCTTTTACCTGGTCATTATCCTTATATTTTTAACAAAATAGAAGGAAAATACGATTCGTTAAAACGAATTAAATTGAATTTCTCATCTTGGGCAATGTTTCTTATTAAATCTGAAATTAAGTTGTGCGTAGGTGTCTCGAGTCGTTTTTTTTCTTTGAAGAATATTTAGTACAGTGTCTCGGAGAATGTTGGAGCGTGGTGATAATGGAGACAGATGGTGTCATAAGGAGACGACACGCATCTATACGTTGTCGTACGCGTAGCTTTTCAAGAACGTGTCACGAACTTTGACCTTTCGTATTTGCCGCCCTCGATGGTTCGATGGAAATATTGCAGCATATACCATAAAATAGGGGATCGAGTTATAATGTCTGTGAACAGCCTCTGAGAAACGCAGTAAGGACTGTGCGACCCTCAGCTAGTTGGATCTTTGATTTATGGATGCAATAAGCGTTTTAATTAACACAACGTATCTATATACACACACACACACACACTGATCCAAATTTAACAAAACATTGATTAATATTAACCTTCAACTAGTGGATTATAGAAGATAATAATTTATGTTAATAATTTATGTTGTATCATTAAAATTTGTATTTCAATTCATCTCGTATTTCATGCGTTTTAATTAATACAACGTATCTATATCCAGATTCAAATGAAATGAAATATAAAAAAGATGAATTAAATCTGACTGATTGATATTAATCATTAAATACTGTCAGGTTATAAACAAATATAATAATTTATATTATATAATTGCACGTTATATTATTAAAATTTTATTTCATTTTACATTCTCGAGAAGAAGATTGAATTATAATTAAGTTTTAAAATTTTAAACGACGAATCATGACAAAAAGGTCGCTACGCGGTCACGTAAACTCTCATACGTCAACGATGTTTTCACGAGAAATTCAATGCACGAATAGGTCACCGCCTATTTTGATTCTTTTTCGAACAATGATGCAAATTTAATAAAAGGCCGTAGCAAGAGAAAGATAAAAAAAAGGGAAGAAACAAAAGAAGAGTATCAGATTAGTTATTTCCAAGACTGGATCCTCTTTCAACGAGCGCTTATCTCGCGAAAACCGGTCTAGACGCTTTGAGATTCCCACTCGCCCTTAATCTTCCAACGTGTGCATTACTTCCTCTATCTGCCATTCAATTTCCTCCCCCGAGAATTTAACTCGCCGATAATAATGAGACTTTGAAATTTCCTTCTATCGGAAATGTTTCAAATATTCTTCTTTCCCTCGATACCTCCTTCGTAGGAATCCAATCGAGATAATATGAGCGGAGAAAATTTCTCAGTTGACGAAATGTATGAAATTTAATAGATACTTTGGACAGAACAGATATGTAGATATACGAAGATATAACAATCGGATAATGAGAGAAATAGGAAATTTTCTTTTGTCTCCTCTTTCACAAATGTAAATTACAATTTACTCTACTTTATTAGGCTAATAAGTAAAAGATACTTTTAAAAAAGTAGAAGATTATTTTACGTGACAAATATTATTCACGTTAAAATTTTCTATACTGGAATGCATTGAAATCTGTAGTCTAGTAATAAGTAAATATACTTGATTTGATGCAGGACACTATCCTTCGAGAGTCCTATTAAAAAAAAAAAAAAGGAAATGAAGGGAATTTATAGCCACTTTAGATCGGATAGATACTAAATGATGAAAGTTGTTCGGATAGAGGGGCAGAATGAAAAATGAGGAAAATTGATGTGAATTTCAGGGCCACCGAAGGCGGTTTAGCACCGGATGCTGCTGCGGGTGCAGGTGCAGGTTCCGATGGAATCGTCGGAGGTCCCAGGACACCTCAGCAGATCGCCTCGCAGAAACGACTGCAGGCGACGCAGGCGCAGGTGGACGAGGTCGTCGACATTATGAAAACGAATGTTGAAAAAGTGTTGGAACGTGATCAAAAGCTGTCTGAGCTCGATGATCGAGCAGGTAAGATCCAAACTCTATCTTTCCCTTATTTCTTATCTGTTAAATTTATTTCTTAATAACAGAGAATGCGGAAAAAATTCTCCATTTGTTGAATTGAAGTTTCAGTTAATGATTGATTGAATTTTCCAATTATCCGGAGAACAACTTCTGTTATGTGAACGAAAAGTAACAAGATAAATTGTAGATTTTCACATTTCGAATTAAGGAAATAGAATCTTTTACTATCCAGTAAATAAGAGTTCAAATCTTAGACAAGTGCACAAAATCTCAGAATTTTGTAAACTATTTGTCCTCTGGTAGGTTACAGATAGACATTTTATACTTTGTACTTTTATAAATGTAGCTAAAAGGACAAAATTTAAATAAACATCTGTTTCATCTATTAAACATTATAAGAAATACTTTGGACACTTTGCATGTATTCTATGCATTTTTAAATCACATATCTAAATATACAAAGATCCGCAACTGTATAAGGTAGTTTGGCCTTTGTTAATTACAGATAAATGTAAAATAAATTGCACTTTAAAAAAAAGAGAGGAGACACTATATACTCGTGTGAAATTTAAAAAGTTTAAATATCGTCGAGTGACCACAGACCATGAAAGAGGAAAACAAGGAACGGTGACTAAACGAGAGACACGTGATGTCCTCTCTGTCTGCGTTCGCGTTTTATACCTAGATGTATCGTTGCCGATATACAACGAAAGTTTTCACAGGAAGAATGTCATAATGGTTAAATGGGGAAAGTAGGAATACACGTAGCGCGATTACGAGCGTACAAAGCGACGGATTAAACCGAAGGACGAGTTGTTCGCTACGTTTGCTCGAAGGATATTCTCTCCATTCATTTTCATCGCAGCATTAAAGTAGTTCGACCCTGCGCGTCTCACTGTACGTTGATATCGATTACTGTGACGCTCTCGAATCGATGCCGTGTCACGGGGCTGACCATCGTCGATCTTTTTCACTGCACGCAGCTTAATCGTTACCTGAACTTTTCACTAGTCTTGCGCGACTTTTTGAATAATTCGAAAATGATATTAGAAAGTTGAAGAATCACTTGGAAATTCAGTGAATGTTTTATAAACATTACATCCTCCATAACATCCGTATAACTTTGAAGCTATATATCGATACGTTAATGTCTTTTTACGTCTTTTTAGCGTCATATGTATATACTATTTATTATTTATTATCTGTATGAATTTTATTATTATGGTTACTATTTATAATTATGACAATTATAAATTCGCTGTTAGTGAAGATTCATATTTGCTGGTTTCAATTTATATAAATCTTTTCATGCCTATAAAAATATCCACTAGAGAAATCGAATATTTATTTTCCTTCGAGAAAAATATTTAGTGGAAAGGAAGATTTTATATCTTTAAATCCTATGTTCTAAATTTTATATTTATTAAGCGGTATGTAAATAAAAAAATAGAAATGAAATTTCACATAATACAAAAGATAGATATTTCTCGTAATGTAGATGACTAATATTAACCACAGTATTTTTAAATCCTATATTTTGATATTCTATATTATCAAAAAAAAAAATATAGTTTCTTTAAATTTTATTATAAAGAAATTAAAATTAATAAATTCTCTCATATCATGAAACTTTGTATTATTAAAATAGAAAATAAAAATAAAATTCTTATTTCCTTGCTTCGTGAGACATTGAAACAAAGTACAATACACCTGTTTCTACAATAACACAACGTTTTTCATTTCAGTAATTTTCATAAAAGTTCGATGCCCGTAGCGCTTCAAATTCAAACAACTTCCTACCAACACCACTTACAAGGATTTTATGGACTTTTTAAAAAATTGATTGTCCCATAAATAGCCGAAACATTCTGAAAGTTCACAGAACGTGTGATTTCACCGAAATAATTTTGTTTTTTAGACGCACTTCAACAAGGAGCGTCACAGTTTGAACAACAAGCAGGAAAACTGAAGAGGAAGTTCTGGCTACAAAATTTGAAGGTAATGAATCCCTGTTATTAATATAATCCTATTGAAATTTTCGTCAAATTATTTAATATTCAATTTCTGTTTCCTTATTTCTAGATGATGATCATCATGGGCGTCATTGCATTAATCGTATTGGCCATCATTGTTGGTAAGTAACTAGATTCATAGATGCACTTATTAAAGCTAATGACACTGCCATTGTAACTGTCTAAATGTTCTGTGTCATACGATCAATGTATCTCGCCACGATTTGTAACGACTAATTCGGCATTTATTGAAAATGTATTCGAAGTATTACTAATGTTTTTAATATTAATATCATTGGCACTAATATGCTACTAATATTAATAATAATTACCAATAACACCAATATTTACGAAAAATACTTGTCAATATTAATATTACTACAAAAATAATATTCTTTAATATTTGGATATTAATATAATTAATGTTAATTGGTATCGTTGGACATTTGCTGCAACAAGTCAAGATCTTTGTTCAGGACTTTTTAATTTTATATTTTATTTTGTTATTAATCTTTAACAGAAAGAAAAATACGAAGTAAAATTAATTACCTAAAATTTTAGTAACCCAACGTATTACAAATTACCAACTCAGTAATGCCATGTTTTAGAGTTCTTATATTATATGTTATACTGCCCAAATTTCGTTTAATATCACAAACTGATGAAAATCTTAGTACGAATATTCGAAAGAGTGAACCGAATCGGTCGTTTCTGGCTAATGTCTCTGCGTCTACATTTTCGTGTTGAAAAGAGGTTCCAATCACCAAGATCATATTGTGTTTGCACGACGCAAAGGGACGACAATGTCCTTTGAGTGAAGTGTCACCAATGAGCTTACACAGTCGATCGAGGAATTCCTTCGAGCATCCCTTAGGAATTCCTCGAGCTGATAAAGTCTTGTTGACGTGCTTCGTTTATATTCTAATTCGTCGATCGTTGTTTCTGATCATTCGAAAAAGATTGAGGAAAATTATTACGTGACGATATTTAAAAAAAAAAAAGAAAAGAGCGAAATAGAGTTTCATTTAAACGATATACGGGACATCCCAATTATTGTGATATAACCGAGAAGAGAGAAGGTGATCCTACATGGAAAAATAAGCCATTTTTTTCATTTGAGATTTCGCTGTCGAGAAAATTGAGTTTGAATGGTTTGTCAAGTATAATTGAATTTGATTAATTTTGTATTGGACAAGAGTGAATAATCGACATATATGTATGTGCAAGAATAAATTAGAAATATGTTCTGTTAAAAATTACTAAATTTTGTTGCTAAATTTTGAAATTTTTCCGAAAACGAAGCGTCTTGCAAAAAAATTTTATTCCATATTCACTTACTTTTTTGAATAACGTAACCTTCGAAATTAGTTCTGATTTAATCTCTTAAGACCTCACTGAATTTTAAGAGATTATATCGACAATTTTATTATTCTACTTTCTCATTATACTACAGCCTTTTTTTAACCCAATCGTTCATAAACATTTATATGAAATTTTATTGAAACATTGTATAAACATTTATAAATTTCTATGAAATACTATTTTTCGAAACAGAACTTCTATTTTTGTATATATGTAAAAAATTATACAACCCGTTTATTAAAAATATATAAAACATTGAAAATTCTAGATAGTCCTAATTCAATGATCATGGATATTGTACATATGAAATTATATTCTTCTACATACAGATACAGAAAAAAATATTCTTCTACGTATAAAAAGAGATGAATTTTAACAAATTAAGTATAGCTGACTTTCAAATTCGACTTTCTCGAAGAGCGTTATATGAACAAAACACATTTTTCGATTAATTTTTCTACGTAGAATTTCTGTTTATTCCCGATTATGCCACAAAAACTGAGATATCCTGTATAACGATTAATTCTAGCGACTGGAGATCGAACGATCTCGTTTCAATAGTGATCGCCACTATTGAAATTAATTTATTCGCTTCCCCTTCGAAGGGACGATCCCTCGAACTTGCGGAAGCAAACTGTTCGTATTATAGAAGATCAAAAGGGATCACGCGCTAATATGCTACTAATCTAACGTGTGACTTCTATGTGTTTCTCTTTTTCATCTAGCGAACTTCATGTAGACGCGCTGGTTGGTGGAAAAGATTTGTGTGTGAGTGAGTCTGAAGGTAGACAGCAACAAAACTGTGACATTGCGTATTACTGTTCTGTCTCTCTCTCTCTCTTTCTCTCTCTCTCTCTCTCTCTCTCTGTCTATATGTTATTACTTTTCCCTGTTTTTATCCTTAACTGTTCACGTAGGCCGTGTGTACGAAATACCTGTATACGGATGTCTATATGTCTCCTTTATCGTTGTTCTACATCACCCGAGATCCACATCCTAAATCCTTGAAAATATCTTCAATTCTCAACATACATATACGTACATATGTTATCCTGCGAATGTTCGTTATTTCACGAGAATCTTTCTTGTTGGGATCCTAACGACGGAAATTACAGAGTGCATCAATAATAGAAGTTCCACTTTCAATAAAATTATCGGATTCTATGATTCCAGTCGGAAGTAAAGTTCCGCGAGCGCAATTAAAAATTTTACACAATTCACAGGTTTTCTGAACAGAATGTAATATTAAAATTTGATCCAATATTTTACATATACATTATATATATTATTCATATTTCATATAAATTTTTACATCTTTTGCGCCTTTAAAAATCTCTAAAATTGCCGACAATTGAAATATAAAACTCGTAGCAAAGAAATTAAAGTATAGAAAGAAAAATCTAATTTCAAATCTTTAAAAATACATCGTCGTGAGTCTATATAAATTGGTCATAGTTATATATATACGTGAATTGATAATTAAGTTTCTCAAAGTTCACAAGGCTAACGTCGTCGTTAAGTTTCCCAACAAAAACAAACAAAATGTCTTTTCGAAAGATCCTTACGAAACTGACGCTTAACCATCGATGTTACATAAATATTGTCTGCCTGTAATAGGTACTTGCTGGTGTATCTGTCACTATCTGTATTCCCCTCTACGAACTGCCACCGTCCTTCGAGGCTCGTTGCATATTCATGAACCACTAATTTCACCGTGCCCCGTTCACAAATCACGCACATTCCCCGTGGTCAGAAACGAGAAGAAAAACAGTGTTTCATGAATCCTCAACGAGAACTTCTGAATCGTCAACCTAGCCCTGATGTGTCTGTTCCAAAGCAACACGATCCAGACCAGCGACACCACAAAACACGAACGATGGTGGCTTTGACAAAGAGTCTAAATGCCAAGAAAATAAGCCCAGCGTGAAAGTTTCTTCAATCGAACGAAGAAACTTAAGTCTTCTTTCACCGATGCATTTAAACTCTCGTTGTTTAAATACGTTTCAAAGTCTCCACGGTAGCGTTTCTATGACCCCGTCACGGCGGCAGATATTACTCGTGTAGTAAAAAGTAACAAAGAAAAAAGAAAGAAAAAAAGAGAAGTTAAGAGAGAAGTTAAAAAATCTGCAAGGTGTTGTTAGCGGGGGCGTATGGTGTATTTTCGAGGAAGAAAATTTTTTACATTTTTTCAAAACGTTCCGCAGCGAGAGAATCGGCTTGGAACGCGAGCTGGAAAAACGGTTTTGAAAACTACACAACCACTCACCCAGACCTGTGCCTCGTTAATTACTGTTATGTGTCTGTCTGTACATTTTGGTGGCGTTGCCTCCCCTCCCCCCTGTCTTTCTCATCCAGAAGTTAGTCCCAGCCAGTGATTTTCAATTTTTTGGTGGTCAAAAAAAAGAAGTGCGATGAAGCCCGTGCAATCGCGTAGTAGTCGTGTGAAAAAGAAAAAAAAGAAAAACAGAGAGAACGAAAATCGAACGAATACTGTGCGTTAAAATGCAGTCGCGTGCAGTGAACGGAGATAAAAACGAACGATGATCGTTGAATACCACCGAGAAATGAAAACACACGAATGGACAACACCACAACGACAAATTGACAACATTAACAACAACAATAACAACAACAACAAGTACTATATATATATATATGTATGTATTATTTCTACGAACAACAAATAAGAACAACATCAACAACAACAATAACAACAAAATATAGAAAAAGGCTTCTAAAAAAGCTTTTATTTCACTCCTACTCTTCTCTTCGGTACGGTAAGCTACAATTTTTATTCATGCATTTTAACACTTTCTCAACATTTTTTCTCTTTTTCTTCTTCTTCTTCTTCTTCTTCTCTTCTTGCACTTCGACATCGTACAAGGAGACAAGAAATTTTCTCTCTTCTACACTGGGACACAGGTTCTAAGTTTAACATCTTTCAACGTTTTTTTTAACAGCTTCCTACGCGCAGAAGTGAATATTTCATAGTCTATCTATTTTTTTTTCTAATTTCTTAATAGAGATAAATAATGTTTGACAAGTCCATTGAATTTTTGAAGAACTTGATCAATTTCTGCGCGCAGCTTAATTCCAGACTTTCTGCATAGTCGATTCAGCATGAGATTCTATTTTCTTCCATTCCTTTTTTTCTCTTCATTTCTTTCGATACGTATTGATCCTGTTTATTTCCACGAACTCGAACACCGTTTCAGTATATATATATATATATATACATAAAATACAATTACAGAACAATATATATTTAATGATATATATATATATATATACATCTTATGTGAATATTTCTCTTTCGAAACGAAACGAAATATTTCTGGGACGATCTTCATGCCGTTTGCATGTTTCTCAAATGTTTGCTTGTAGAAACGATTATGGGGCATGTTGCGTTTTTTATGTTTCACATTTCGATAGATAGTGCGATCGGGAAAACGTAGCGATGCATGGCTTTCTCTGGCTATCGACTATATTATGTGCTACATTATGTGGAAGAGAAGTTCGATGGAACGCTTTTATCGGGGCTTACAGCAAGTTACAATAATCATTATATCGAGAAACATTCTCGTGAACGAGGAAAAAGAATACTATGGTGCAATTCCAAACGTGCTGGATAAAAATCACGAGCGATAAAGTGCAAAAAAGAAAAGAGACACGATAATGGTGTTCGGTCTATACATCGAACGATCAGTGTGTATAAACTGACGAATTTACCAAGCAGTAGTGGATGTTAAATGTGATCGTAAGTTGCATGCATTTTGCTTGAGTATATACGTATATATGAAATAGAAATTTATATTTATATATTTGAATATGTATTTAAAGAGTAGATTATTAGATGAATCATCGTGGACAAAGGTTATTGATTTTGTTTTACAATAAATGAAATATTAATATTAATATTAATATATATATATATATATATAATATACCAATATACTACTATGTTATTAGTATATTAATATTTATAATAAAATGAAAGTAGTTATTGATTTCTTGCACCTTTGCGTGGCGTAGTAGAGTGTTTGACCAAGAGTGTCTCTATCTACTTAGGCTGTGTCTTCGTCAAAAAAAGTTCACTATTAATCTTTTACTCGAAGTTTTTCCCTCCTATTTTATAGATGTTAGTGCTTTCTACTTTCTTTAGAATAAACTAGGCATTCAGAAATCAAATTGACCGACGTTATTTTTTGAAAATTTCTTAATTTTCCATGGCTCTTAACCCTTTCATTTTAATTTCTTAATTTTCCACCAAGTATTTAACTTGGTAACTAATTAAAGTTACTAGTAATACTTTAATTAGTTACTAAATATTATGACTTTAATATGAGTATAGTAATTTTAATTAGTAGATTGCAAACTTTTATGCAATTATAGGAAATTTGAAAGACGACGAACAGTACGAGTACAATCTATAAAATCTCAAAATCTCGCAATAATGCTTTTCATGATGCTTTTGTTTTAACGAGGTTACATTCAAAAATATGAATTTACATAAAAATCCGTTCAGCTAACACCGACGATCAGTTTAATTTCCATACTTGACTTAAACTCCTTTCATTTTATCCATTTTATTCATTTTTATCGAGAAAGAAAGACCAATCTTTGTCCATGATAATGATAGGCTGGCATTCTGCATGCGAAGAATACCAAGAAAAAAAAAAGAAAAAAAATAGAAAACCAAAAGATCGAAATGAAACCAAGCGATGTGACTGAAACGAACGGCAAGATGAGACATGTTACAAAAAAAAAAGCGGTCGCTTGGAAACGGGCAAAATTAAAAAAACAATCGCCTGTTGTTCTTTTCAGCGAGCGCCACCGGCGGCAGCGACTCGCAAAACTGAACACGTGAGTAAAATTAAGGCAACAACAATAACGACAACAACAACAGCAAAAACCAACAAAAATCAACAAAAGCAACCAACAGCGAAACGAAGGCGGTGTGAACAGCGAGGAATTTGAACGCGCGAGACAAGTTTGAGACTGCAAAAAGTACAGTAAAAAAAAAAGGAGAAAAAACAAAAGAATACACACAATCGATGAGCAACAAGCAAGAGCAACAATAAGGAAGTATTGTACAATAAGATCGAAGCAAGACCTAAAGAAGTGGAGGAACAGTGGTAATAAAATCGGCTGTCGACGGAGTATCGATTGTTGATAGAGACTCTTCGATCTTTCAAGTACGGCAAAATTCGAAAAAGAAAAAAAACAAAAAGAAAAGAAAGAAGTGGAGAATGAATTGAAATGTAAAGGATGGCGTGTTGTGTGAAAGAAAAGAAAATGGAAGAAGAGGAAACCGCTACGTTTCTATGGTTCCGTTTGCAACTCCGCGATCTTGTTCGAGATCCAAAACGATACTTTCGACTCGAACACGAGAGTGGACGTGATTAAATTCATTTTGTCGACGTTTCGCAAATGGACGAAGGCCGGCTAACGATTTAGAATTGGAAAACATTTGTCGATCGTTCGTCTAAGCGTTGCAAATCGTACATCTAAGCGTTCGTCTACCGTTACATCGAACGATAATAAACGAAAAAAAAAAAAAAAAAAAGAAGAAACCGATCGTCGTACGGGATAGAGAAGAAATGAACGAAACAAACTCTGATCGATTAACTGATCCTTGCCTTCCTTCGTCCATCTTTGTGAAGTAATTCGCGCTGAATAAACGAATAAATAAAAGAGAGGAAATTAATTAATGGCCAGTGTGTACAAAGAAAAGAGAAGAGATGTTTCGAGGGGAGATGTCGAGGAAATATCGCGATACAGGGTGTCCGTTAAAACTAGCAGGATCATTTTCGACGAAGGCAGCGTGTCGTAGAAAACTTTCATTGTGTCCCCCTTCCCTCCGTAAAGAAGTGCCGAATATAAATAAATAAATGTGTGTATAAATGTATATCGACGTATATGTTTACTTTATAAATAAAACATGTATGAAGTTGCGAGGAAGAGCGTACGATCTAAAAAAATCCGAGTGAACGCGGATCTTCCATCGTTTTCAAAACTACTTGGTGATTCTGCTTCGAAAGTTTTGTATAATAATAAAACAAAATCATTCGTCGTTAGGTGGTTCTTGTCTCGATCTCTTCCGATATTTACAGTCACTAGACTGCGGATTTTTATGCAAATTTATAATACTTTTGATTGAAAAAGAAAAAGCTTAGGTAGTTAATTGTCTTAGGATGTCGATTGCAAGCAAATGTTATAAAAACTATTGTATTTTGGATATTTTATATATATATATATTTCTTCACATTGTCCGTTCTATGCAATTTTGTATCTTCAAATTTTTCTGCAAATGCATAAAAATTCGTAATCTGATTTCCTTTCATCGTCAAAATTTCGCGACGTTTCATTTCTAATCATTTACACTCATTTCTGAAAGAACGTGTACAAAAATTTTCGCTCGAAAAAATACGTGAATAGAATTTTTACTCGTAAATCTCAATTAACAATGGAAAGATCAGTTAATCACACGTGGATCGTATGCTCTGCTTGTAACATATATGTACATCTCGTGCTGTAAATAATATCATTTCTTCTTCATGTTCGTTCAATTATGACCAACTGCTGATAATTAATAAACGACTTTAAAAAAAGTATATATATATATATATTATATATATAATACCACGGTTGAAAAACCACGGAAAATAGTGAGCGTGAGAGCGAGAGAGTAAAATAGAGCGTTTGAGTGATCGAGAGAAAGACAGAGCGAGAGAGATAGAGAGAAAAAGAGAGATTCACGCGTATTCTTTGTTCTTTCGCGTCCGTTATCCTTCCACTGAATCGGGAAATGAGTAAAAGTAGAAGAAGCCTGCCTTCGTCGAAGACGGCAACGGAACGTTTTCATGCAACCTATGCGATCATACGAAAAAACGAAAAAAGAAAAAGGTTAGAAAACAAGAAATAAAAATTAAAAAAAAAAAAAGAAGAAATACGCGACGAACGAGGGAAAAAAAGAGAGAAACGCTCGAGGCACTCATATAGGTTCGTTTTAAGGCTTGAAGAATTATCTACAGATGTTATGTATACATGTTAATAATATTAATAATAATAATATTAATATTAATAATAATAATTATAATAATAACGATGATGCTAATAATAACGATAATAATAATTATGATAATAATAACAACAATAACAATAATAATAGTGCAGTAATAATATTTAACAAGTAAACCACGCGCGATGCGACGACCACCGTGGAATCCGTGGAATCTATTGCCATTTCGGAAAAGAAAGACAAGGGGAAAGATACACGCACGGAGTATCGTCGAAGATCTAAGACACTTTTATGGAGTTCGCTGTGCGCGCAAGAAGTTTAAGAAATTATAAAGCTCGTAAAAATTAAAAAGTTCGCAAAGGAAATTTTTTTATTTCGTTCCGCGATCTTGAAGCTTACTTCCAATTCTTTTTATAGAATGCAGAAACTCCACATTGCATTGAAAATCGTTGAAAATAGTAAATTTAACTTTTTTTTTTATTCTTTTTTTAGTTTGAGGTATCTACACATACACGGGCTAAAAGCTTTTATTGTTCTCGCAGAAACATTTTTGTGCGTAGCGATGACGTCGTGTATGAAACGTGTCGTCGTTCTTCGCTGATACTTCGTGCACGATTCCACAGAGGAAACGATATCTTCAAAGTTTCTCATCAGCCAGCCGCTGTACACGAGACGAAAAAAAAGAAAAAGAATCCGATGAAAGGAAGCACATTCAACGGCATGACTTCTCAGGCAGTTCGAGGAAGTCGTCAATGGTTTCCTTTCCATTTCACTGGTTTATTCTTGTGTTCATTCGTGTTCGTCCATCGAACGAACAAACTACTCGAATTTTCGCATTTAGAATCCCGTCTCCGAGTCCCTTCCTCCGCGTATATCCATTTTGCGGAAAAATAAAATAATCTAAAAATATGTAATCGAACGATCAACTTTGAAGCCAGAATTCTTCCAAATTCTGTCCTGTCAGTGGGAAGCGATTGTCTCTTCTTCTTCTTCTTTTTGACAAAATTCTAACGATTCGTTGAAACTACGCGAAGAAGGGGACCAGAAGTCGTTAACACAGAGCACTATATCGATCGTTTGGGGGAGAGATTTTCAAATAGGATTCTTAATCGAATCCGAAATCATGGCGTTCGAATATGATCAGATTGTGTTTAAAAAGGAGAAAAAAGAAAAAAAAATTATAAAATGCATAACTGTACGTCATGCGACACTTTGGCCATTGGCGTGTTAATTATTAATGACGATTATGATTATGATTATGCTGCTTTCAACATTGTACAGTATCGAATAAAAATTACAGTACGTAGTCAAAAAAAAAAAAAAAAAAAAAAAAAAAAACAGACAGCAATGTAGAGAGCAAAAAGAAAGAAAAATCAAAGTGGAAACTTTCTGTGCGACTCTATTTTGGGTACGATCGTGTTAGACGCGTTCTTTCGCGATTTCTGTTCTCCCTTTCTTTCGTCACCGATGAAATTTCATCTTGATGCACGTATGTAGGAAAAGCAAACTTTCAAATTTCACGGTCGTGGCCAGAAAATGTCGACATTACTCGGTTGAAATTCTCAACTTAGAGAAACATTTCATCGTAACCATGGAGAAAAGGAACCCTTTAGAACATAGTACCTATTTCATCCCAATAGGAGGTAAGAATTCTGAATATACTTTCCTTTTTCATTTTCTTTTCGATTCTCGTACATACCTGCTCTTTTACCAAAGGCGATTGTTACCTAATCTTTTTGGTGCGTTTCGGTCAGTGTATCGATAAAATCGTGTTTATCATTGTGACTCGAGTGAGCTATAAAGAAACCTATTAATCACAATTAGAATTAATCAATCCTTCCCTGTGTTCAACGTACGTTTATAATATTCATTGCCAATAAGCAGACAGATACATAACCCCTCTTCTTCTCAAATTTCCATTATTCAGAGGAATATCATCGTTGTTTCTTACAACTTATTAAAAAAAAAGAAAAAACTCTTGCTCCTTTGTCGAGGTTCAAAAGCAAAGTGCCTCTTGTCCTGATTTCAAAAAATTAAGCGGAAAGCTTCTTACATGACATCTTCTCTCAACCTAACAATAAGGAAATCTCATAAAGTAAAAGATACTCGTTATATTTATTTTCTTATTTGAGATGTCTCCCTCCTTTCCTCTGATCTTCAGAATAATAAATAAAAAGATATATGTTATAGAAACAGTATCCTTCTACTTCTGCTATTCTAATTTTTGTTAAATAGTCCATCTGTAATGTTCCAACGTCTGTAAAATAATTTGTCTGATTGTGTTTTTTCAATTTCGTTTTCCTCTAATCTTTAAAACAATATGTGAGAAAATACATACATATATACATGTATAATCGACAAACAACATTTCTTCCATTTTCTAATATTCCAATCCCTGTTAATTCGATAGTAACGTACTAATCAGAAATAATTTGCGCGATTGCGTTTTCTCAATTTCGTCTTTCTCTGATCTTTAAAACAATATATAAGCTCAGAAACCAATTAGTATAAATCATTAAAACTGACCTGTACTGTACAAACATACTTTTCAAAACTATCCAAAAGCTGAATGAATAATTACAATATAATGATCATGTTACCACTTTTTACCAACAATTTTAGCAATAGAAAGATGCCCGAGTAGTTTTTGATGGGAAGTGACTTACACTGATTGGCTTCCAAGCCCTTCATATATATATACATATGTTATATAATCGAGAAATAATACCCTCCCATTTCTAGTATTCCAATTTTTGTTGATTCGATGGCAATCAGATTAATCAGAAGTAATTTATGTGATTTCGTTTTTGCAGCGAAATTCATGCCAGAATCGACACCACCGCCTCCACCACCTTATGGCTACCCGATGCCAGGTCAGATTCCGGGTGCAGCTGTTCCGGCTGCAGCACCAGCAGCTGCATCAGGAGGCGCATCCGGCGGAGCAGGCGCTGCAAGCGGATCGCAGACTCCTGGCGCAGCGCTAGTTGGCAACCTGAACGGCATTCACAGCGTGATGTAAAAAGGAAAGAAAGAAAAAAGGAAAGAAAGAAAGAAAGAAGAGCGAAATACACAATTGTCCGTACCGTACCGTATCGCAATAAGAATTTTCCAAGCTAATCTTAAGCAAGCAACGTAAAATCTATCGACGTAAGAAACTAAATAACGGAATATTTAAAAAGAAAAAAAAAAGATAAGAAAAACTAAAGGAATATTCCGATCGTTAGACGCGTGTCCACGTATCCAAAATTCAAAATTCAGATTCCGTAATCAGCACAGGTTTCATTTCGAAAATAAAAGAGACGTCAAGTCTCGAAATCGGTGAAATAAAGGTTTGATCGAGGAACAGCTAACGCGTTAACTGCCGCGATGCAATCCACGAAGACAAAAAAAAAAAAAAATACAAAGTGAGTATAATAATCGATTTGCTGTAGATGTTCTGTTTTAATCAGACAAGCGTCATTATTCTTTTCGACGGTAATACATACGATCTAATTGAAAGCTTCTAAAAGATGAATTAAAAGATGAAAACGCGTGGCGCATACCATTATTAGTTCCTCCTTGCAGTTAATGTATTCGACACTGCAGAAAAATTAAGAGAATAAATCGCGAGTTTCGTAAATAGCTTCTAGGGACAGTCTCTGTTTGTTACTATTCACTTCCTGCTCTGGTGGTGAGCACTTAGAGAACAGATAGGGAAGTCGATCGAACCCTCCTGAACATTTTATCCCGTAAAAAGAAGATAGCGATCTGTCTATAGGTATAGATTTCTCTGTATATTGCCAACTAACTGGAAATTGAACTCAATTCGCGTAATCCTCGTACAGTAATCCTGGTCGAAGAGAGTTAATAAAAGGGAAAACGAATGAAGAAATACGAGGGAGGACGATGTTCACGTGTCGGTGGACGAACATGTGTATCTACATATATACGTGTAAATGTACATAAATTATTACGAATTATCGATGTAAGATTGAACTATACATATATATATAAATATACATATAAATAATATAACTTATAAATAGTAGGTATCACGAATAAAAGAAAAATTATAAGAAAGAAACCGAGAGGAAGAGGGAGAGAGAAAGAAAGAGAAAGGGAAAGAAAAAGAGAGAAAGAGAGATTGTTAGTGTTAAATTTTATTACTCTTCACTTTTAGCACTGTTCATAAATATGAAGATTAGCAATTGTTATTCCGAATGAAAATCAACAAGTGCATCCAGGAGGATAATTTACGCGTTGATTACGTTTGGACAATACTTTTTTGCAGACCCTGATTTCACGGATTCGAGTATGTACTTTAGCTTTAACCACAATTAACTTCGTTGTCTGAGTTTTTTTCTCTGTGCTACACTATTTTCTGTGAGTCGATTTTAATAAAGAAAGAGGATAATAAGTCAGATAGGGGAATGAAACGAAGTAGTTTCAAGCAGAAAATTTTGGCCACAAAGGCCAAAGATCCCTTTTTTGGCAAAGATCCACGCTTCATTATTAGACTGCGGATTTTCATGCGTATATGGGAAATTTAAAGGTACAAAAATACATATAATGCATATAGCATGCAAGAATACGTCAAACGTAGACATCCAAAATAGAATATTTATTACAATATTAAATGGATTTAGGTTCCGTTCGTTTAGTTAGATTCATAAAAATATAAAAATGCACGAAAGTCTGCAGTTTATTCATTATAATCGTCGCACTAACGAAAATATTTGCCGATTTTTAAAGATCAATGAAATTCTCAACAATTAGATTATTTGTAATATAGTACACTCCCTCAAAAACAGTAAGTTACGAATGAAGGAGAAGCATCTTGCGGATAGAGATTTGATAAAGATTTTCTATTATTTTTATGTGTGAAATCGCACCTAAGAGAATGCTCACTGTGTTTAACGACAACCACTATATAATATCTGAATCCTCGATTGTCGACGACACAACTTTTGTTTCTTTATGAAACGAAATATATATAAATAGTTTCGATGATTAAGGATCAGTACTCCACCGATAGAAATTTTTTTTCTTAACGTAACTGGCAACTTCTCAATGTTCTTCTCTTTATTGGCCTAATCAATTAGGATTTTATCGCAGTTCGTTTGTCGTGATCGTTCGATTTCCATAACTGATTAAGACGATTGTAGGAGATACGATTATTGATTCTCTTTTTAAACTATGCGACTACGCTTGTATATCTATGTGTATACACCGTATATACTACATAATTAGATGTTCCACACAGAAGAAACGTAATCAATGTATGGGAGAATGGAATGGAAAAAACATCTCTTTTAATAGAAAACGACTTTAAACACACATTTAAAACAAAAAAAAAAAAGAAACGCAAAGAATTTGTAAAGGTTGCAAACCACGTTTATCGAAAAGAAACCGTAACTCATAGAAGTAAGATTACTCATTTTGCTACATCGTTGAAATACGAGTCAAGATTTCGAGGTTTAACAAAATCGTAAAACGTTTCCTCCTGAATTACTATAAGAATCGATCTCTCGAGGCATACCTTCCTTGCTCAAGATGCAATTAAATTAACCACCCGCCCAACAATCCTCCCTTTTTCTCCGAGATGCTTATTACTAATGTCCACGAATCGAAGAAAAATAGAGAAATGATTATTTAAGACGTTTGTAAGTATATGATGAAAATAATTATACATACTACGTAAAAAAAAAAGAGGCTTCACCACATAGGCAATTTAATGCATTATTACGAGGTATAGAAGTACGATTAATAATCGCGATAATTGATTCAGTTGAGCGTCATTCGATTTACTGATCGAGAAATCTATGTTCATCTAGTTTTAGATGTTACTGTATATTAGCCTTAAATAAACACAATTATGGAAAAGATCAAAATTATTTGCGAATATTTTATTACGTTTATCCTAAAAATGTATCTTAATCGTCTTGGGGGATATTAAATTTTTGTGATTGAAGTCGACTAAAAAAATATTAAAGAGTTCAAAACTTAATATTAATTATAATTAAGATATTTCTTATATACGCAATATTTTTTTTAATCTCGGGTTCAATTTGGAGTAACTACGCTCCTGACATCAATGAAACGATTTCAGCGCCGCGTAGCGGTCGACTCTTCCATTTGTTGTCCGTTTGTAAACATGGCTCCTGTAAGTTCTCTGCTCGCATAAAATATAACAATAATTCGGAAATACTCAAAAATTTACCAAAAATCCACTGAACAAGTAAAACAGCATGTTATAGCCTTTTATTCTGATACAATTTTATTTCAATTTTTGAAAAGATTGCGAAAATATCGTTAGATGTAAACTTCCAACACGCGTCTATTAGATGCTAACATGTGCCTACAACAAATGTAATTTTTTAATTAAAACAATTTCGAAATGTGGATTTATATATTTTTCAGCCAACTATGAAGAAATCAAAAGGACCGACTATCAAAAAACAAGCCCTTCGAGGTAAGGGTCAAAAGAAAAAAGTATCCCTGAAATTTACTATTGACTGTACACATCCAGCAGAAGATAATATTATGGATGTAGCCAATTTCGTGAGTACTTCTTAAATTTCTTCCGTATTTTTTGCTTTCCAATTCTGTTTCCGAAGACAGTATCTTTTAAACTTGTGTTTTTATGTTAATTTTAATGATACAATATAATCTTAACCTCACATTATATATTAAAGATTGTAAAAATATGTTTATAAAGTTCATACAGCTATAAATAATTATATATTTTTTTTTTAGGAAAAGTACCTGCATGAAAAAATCAAGGTTTCAGGGAAGACAAACAATTTTGGCAATAGTGTGAGCTTAGAAAGGGATAAGATGAAACTATCCGTTAACAGTGATATTGACTTCTCCAAACGGTGAGTATTGTCCAGTATATAAGAATACTATCTATAATGTTAAGAAATCAACTTTATTAATATTAATGATTTTGTGAGTCTTATCATATATTTTTACATAATGACCGATATTTGCACTAATTTAATAACATGTCTGTATAGGTATCTTAAATATTTGACAAAAAAGTATTTGAAAAAAAATAAACTACGTGATTGGTTACGTGTTGTCTCAAAAGACAAGGAAACCTATGAGTTAAGGTACTTCCAAATTAACAGTCAAGAGGATGATGACGAAGAGGATGCAGAATAAACTTTAATTCTATATGCAATTACAGAATTACATATGTCTGTACATATTTCTACAAATAAATAAAAAAAGAAAATTTTTGCGTTTTTTGAAAAGTACAAAATCATCCAAACATTAATAAATTGATTTAATCGCATTAAATCTGCTTAAAAATGAAATTGTAATAAATACGAAATCGTGTGTAAAGTATGTAATAAATCACACTTTCTATTATTATGAAGAAAAGAAGAACAAAAAATAATCGTACAGACATGCAAAGATTCTTCGTAAAGTTGAAAATAAAAAACGTGCGTCATCAAACGCGTAGTGAGGAAAAACATGTCGGTCTTTATCACCAGCAGACTCGTATCTATTTAAGGTTCTATTAGATCCCTGATAATTTCTATATTATTGTTATTCAAAAAATTCAATTAATCTTGCAATAACTATAATTTTTGCGAAAATTAATTGAACATTCTATAATAAAAAAAAAAAAATACAAATCGTAAAGTAAATAAAAGTTACGATTAAACGAATAATGTCACAGGAAATGAAGTTCCGCAAAAGATCGTCTTTTTTTTCAAATGTAAATAAACAACAAAATTCTCTCACAAATTTTATAAGTCCTACAAATTAATACCAATATCATAGTTTCGTTCCGAGAATTAAGGAAAATCTTATAGAGACGGTACTGTTTTATCTATTACACAAATCAGCAATATCATTTTTGTCTCATTGAACAAATATCGCAACAGCACGTCGGAGTCTACTCAAGGCGTATAAACAAATCGTTAGGAGATACCGTCCGGTCCGCAAATACATTTTTCGTTGAATTTCACAGAGAAAACCGAGGGACTATTTCGCGTCCGCGTAGAATACGAGAGGAAACTGCTATAGCAATGCGCAGACGAATCGACGCACGGTGATTGTTGTGACAGAAGTAGAGAAGAGTATCATCGCATCGTCGTATTTCCAGTGCGGAATCATCGTATGAATCGGTAAGGGAACGAAGAATTCAGAAACTTTTCGAGGAAGAAACAGTTCCATTAAATTGCACGAACCTCGTGCAAGTGTACGTGAACGATGAAGTTTCACTACAAGGAGAAACATTCTTTTGAAAGGAGGAAGGTCGAGGGTGAAAAGATAAGACGAAAATATCCCGAAAGGGTTCCTGTGAGTATCGCGTCTAAAAATGTTAACCATTTTGCTAGTCGAAACGAATTTACGCCTCTTCTCAGGCAGATCGTACCGTTCTAAAAAGTCAATTCATCGCGATTAAGGCTATATTATTTGCGAATAGTTAGAACAGTTTAATTCATTATTAATTGACTCAGTCTGTATCCCGAGAATTTTCTGGCCTGGAATGAACCAAGGTCGACTTTCTGCGTCGTACGTGCTTACATTTCGCGATGATGCAAATATTTTTTTTCCGCCGATCAAGACGCTAATGGGTGAATTTACCATTCGTATCAAATTTCTTTGTACGTTCGCTTTGCCATTGCTCAAGTCTATTGATCGTATTATGCTCTTGTAATTTTCGATTGATAGAATTGAGCGAAAGGGAAAGCATTTTCTCTTTTTTTCGCACGATTATTTCGATCGTGTGTCAGCAAATTTCTTTTTTCATGCATAGAGCGAAAATGTATTGGAAATGTAGACAAGCTGTTATTACTTCAGAGATTTGGATAAATGTCAAATGTACGTGATACCAAACATGAAAATTTAAGACTGACTTTCTGATCTTGACAATGGGCCAAGGTTCAAACATTTTATAATAGCAATGATAATGGAATAACGAAAAATGATTTTTTTTTTCATTAAAATATAACAGAAAATTAGAATTAAAGTTATGTAAACTTTTCGTTATGTTAATTTGTGACTGATTTTGATGAAGAAATTTTTATTTCTCAGGTCATTGTTGAGAAAGCTCCAAAAGCTAAAATTAGTGATTTGGATAAACAAAAATACTTAGTACCATCTGATTTAACTGTGGGACAGTTTTACTTTTTAATTCGCAAACGAATTCACTTACGTCCGGAGGATGCTCTCTTTTTCTTTGTAAACAACATTATTCCTCCAACAAGCGCTACCATGGGTTCTCTTTATGCGGTAATTATATAATTTCAGACAAATAAATATCTATATAATATTTTATCATATTTGTAATATTTGTATTTCATTATGTTTCATAGGAACATCATGAAGAAGATTTCTTCCTCTATATAGCATACAGCGATGAGAATGTGTATGGACACTAATTCACAAAAATAAAGACAACATCCGAAGAGAAAGCAGACAAAAATTTGCCATCTACAATAAACGTAGTCCTTTTAGAAGCTTTTGAAAGTGTCAACAAAATTATGTCCTTCAATTGTTTCGAGTGAAATTTTAAATTCTAGCACTATGTAATTTAAGTTTGCTTCCTTAAGATAAATTACACATTCGTCTACCAATTATATGAACATTGTATGTATATCTTTTCTTTTTTTTTTTTTTGTTCCATCACTCACTGATTATCAAAAAAACTGAAGATCAGAATGTAAGGATGAGAGCTGTGTTATATGATTTTCTTATCTAGGCTAATATATAAAAAATTGAAGTCATTTAAAAAAAAGAATTGATAATTATTATGAAAATATAATGATTATTTGAAACTAATATTTAGAATGATCTTATGATAAATTTATAATTCTGCATAGATATTTTATGTAATTTTATTTTAATGATAATTCACTTTTATCTAGACTAGTATTATTCTATTCATATGATTCACTATAATTTGACCATTTAAAAAATGGGAAGAACTTGTTGAATATGTGGTGAAGTGAAATTTGTTGTAACGGCTGGATGTGGGTCAATAAAAAAAATTATAAAAGTAAATTTCGTTACTATGTAATTGTTTCCCTGTTGCAAAAATCATTCATTTTTATGATGAAAATACGAATTCGCGACATTAAGAGACAACGCTTGAAACCGTGCCTCGTTCATAGTTAATATGTTTTCGTCGCGATTCGTGCATTTTTAACGTGTTTTTCTCTAACGTTCTGCTTTGTGTAACGATCAAATGGAAAATAGTATCTAGTTAATGCCATTCTCTTGGTGAAAGAAGCCATTTTCAAACCACTATGGAAGTAGAAAACAATGAAACGAACATTACAAACGCTTCAATTGCAGAAAGATACATTGCTTCTGCATTTAATTTGAATCCAGAAGATAGTAACTGGATTGTAACAAATTCTTTTATAATTTTTACTATGCAAACGGGTAAAGTTTTATATTAAAAAATTAAGACCTGCAACAGAATTTATTTCTTTGTTTATTCAGGTTTTGGTATGTTGGAATCTGGATGTGTTTCTTTAAAAAATGAAGTTAATATTATGATGAAAAATGTGGTTGACATAGTGCTTGGCGGTTTAACTTATTGGGCATTTGGTTTCGCAATGAGTTTTGGAACAAGCAAGTTTAATAATCCTTTTATTGGTTTAGGAGAATTTCTGATAGATCCTTCAGTAGAAGATACACTTATGGGTCCAAAATGCGCTGCATTTTTATTCCAATTAAGCTTTGCGACTACCTCAACCACCATTGTTAGCGGTGCCATGGCTGAGCGGTAATTATATAAAATAATTATATAAAATAATTTACAAAGTTTAATTGGATATTATATGATTGCAGATGTAATTTCAAAGCGTATTGTTTATTTTCTTTTTTAAATACAATTGTCTACTGTGTACCAGCAGGATGGTTATGGGGTGATCAAGGTTTTTTGAAAAAAATGGGTGCTGTTGATATCGCTGGTTCTGGAGCAGTACATCTTGTTGGTGGCAGTTCTGGTAAAATATTGACATCTTCTTTATATAATTTGTTGATAGATATTTAAAATATTAATTTATATCAGCACTTGCGTGTGCCATTATGTTGGGACCAAGAGTAGGCAGATATGACAATGGAATTGATCCATTACCTCTTGGGTGTCCAGTCAATGCTATCATGGGTTTATTTGTACTTTGGTAAAATAATCAGACATTTCTCATTCACAGATTTGAATTGTCAGATATATTAATAAATAATAATTGTATAAGGTGGGGCTGGTTGGCTTTTAACAGTGGTAGCACATATGGTATCAGTGGACAACGATGGCAATATGCTGCTAGAGCAGCAGTTTCTACTATGTTAGGAAGTATGGGAGGTGGTTTAATTGGACTAGGTTTCAGTTTAAATGGTCCAGATAGAATTGACATTCTAAGTCAAATAAATGGCATTCTTGGTTCACTAGTGGCAGTTACAGGTGAGTTTCAATATAAGATCACTCATGAATATTCAGTATAAAGTACCTACTGTCTTAACAACAACTTCACAGAATTCGTTAGGTGGTTGTTTTCTTTTCAGGGCCTGGGAGGCCATAATCGTTGGAATGGTTGGTGCTTTTATTACATGTTTTTCCATGCCCATTTTGGATAAAATGCACATTGATGATCCTGTTGGAGCTAGTGCAACGCATGGTTTTACTTTTCTCTTTTGATTTTACTAATTTATTTTTTATGCATCTCCTATTTTATTAATTAGTTTTCCTTGAATATAGGTGCAAGTGGAATTTGGGGTATCATTGCCATAGGTTTATTTGCAGACAATCCACATCCTCTTGATACCACCAGTGGAAGAAAAGGATTATTCAAAGGTTTACAACAAAAAATTTGACTTGATTATTGGATCAAATTCCATAGAACTATTTTTCTGTTTATAGGAGGAGGATGGTGTTTGTTAGGTGTACAATGTTTAACAGTTGTATGCCTAGCATTTTGGAGCTTCATAGTATCTGTTATATTGCTATGGGTGAATTATATTAGATATTAACTCAAATTATATTTCTTTACTAAAATCTGTTATTTAATTGTAGTTTTACATTTTTCTAGTTTATAAATAAAATTATACCAATAAGAATGAGCATACATGATGAGCTTTTAGGTGCAGATTTAGTAGAACATCGAATACGACATCCACAGGTTTTTATTTTAACTATTACACATTCGTAATTAAAAAATTGTATACATTACAAATTGATTATGCATATTTTTAGATTGGAATAAGTAGAGCTATGTCTGCACTTCGACCAGCTTCGCAAAAACACGAGTTAAATAACGTGCATCCCATAGGAATCAATCCTGGTAAGATGCATTTACGTTGAAATATATTATTGCTCGATTAATTATGCAACTCGATTTGCACTAGGTCACGATTCATACATTGAAAAACATAATCGTAAAAATCGCTTGAAATATGGAAAACAACTTATACTTGGGAGAAAGTTATCAAAGAGTCCTAAGTTGAATACTGTTACTGATGCTGTACTAAACGATAAAAACAAACCGAATTTCGCTTGGATAGATTAATATTTTCCAATGTTTTCAACATTGTAACAATCGTAGATTTATTAGAAACATATAAATGTATTCACATATACCTTATAACGCTTTCACACAGTATTCACATATATATATGAGTACCATATAGAAGCAATCTTTGATAAATAATTAAAATCTTACACAAATCTTGTTGAAAGATCACAGACACTGTAAATACGTATAATATCCCGACTAATAGTATGGCACCTAAATAGAAGTCTCTTTTGTTATAAGTTTCAGATAAAATATTATTATGAAAAATTATTTGTCATCTTTATTTATCAAGGACGTAATATTGGACGCTTTTTACGCTATGATAGGCAGGAATTGCTCTTCGAAGACTGTATTACATAGACATCAAGAAAATAACAATTCCTAATTTCTCTCATTTTGTTCGATATTATTAAATATTATATCTATATATGTTTATGTTAATCTTGTATCATAAATGCAAACTACATTTTTTACTGTGTTAACATATGGCCTAATTAGATACCATAGTTATTTTTACAAAATGCTTGATATTTTTTTAATACTACTAACTACACTAATATGTATAATTTTATGTATGTAAAATTATATGATTTTGAAATGAATATATGTGTAAGATGCTTATACAAAATATAGTATAGGAAACAAATTTCAGCTTTTTTAAATAAATAATTATAGTAAAAAAGAATACATTTTAAAAAATACAAATCTCATACTTATTCTGCAAAATACTTATTTGTTGGCTAAAATTGCAAATAACTGATTACATTATACATGTAACTTTAGTATCTGCAATTTTATGAATAATCCATGATTACATATTAATTACTGCCCATTGAGCCACCTCTGTTGGTAATCCAGAATAATTTTTTACAGCTTCTAGAACTTGCTGTGGGGTGAGTAAAAATTTATAATATTGATACTCTTTCTCAACTTTTGAATTCATACCACCCACTGGTAATAAAAATTCTAAATTCTGTGAAAATGATGTGCATAGTTTTGAAATCAATATGCCATTTATATAATAATATAACAATATCATTTTATTCCTACTGTACAACCCTTACCTTAATATGTTCAAATGCTTTCATAATGACAGGCTTTTGAACAGTTTGTATAGAAGAATTTTGATTAGCAAATTTTATGTAACGATTATAAATTGCTTCAAAATTAAATGGCTCCCCATCATAAATTTCTGTTTCATGTTTCATTGATATTATCTAAAATAATAGCATGTTTGTCAGAAATACATCCTATGGCAAAAGAAAAAGCAATAAACACACTTACTAAACACATTTCTAATACAGACAATCCCTCAAGCATTAGCACCTTGTCATCTTGGGTAAACATTTTGCTTGCTTCTACAAAATCATTTACTTCTAATCTCTGATGCTTCTCTGACAATGTAGAAACAGCCATTGCTAAAAAGTTTCTAAAGCTTCTTTCACTAATATCAATCTGATACATTCTTTTTAATAGATTCACCATAGTAGCATTACTAACTAAACTTTTTATATATTCATTCCACACAGATCCAAACTGTGGGTCTATTGTACAATCTTCATATTGATGCTCTATCCTATTTACATTCTCATCGTCAGGAAGACTTAAAAGATGTTGAAAAAGTTCTAAACGATCATCAAAGGCAGATGTTGGTTGTTCTGAAGATGATGTATCTCCAGGAAATAAAAATATTTGTCGATGAGAAAATCTTGATTTAACTCTTTTCTCTAAGAGTTCTATAACATCTAATCTACAAGTCATTCCAATCACACATATAGGAGCCTAAAGAGATGAACATTTAATATAACTTTCAACTCAATTTCAAATCAATGCAAAACTCTACTTTACACTTACTTGTGCAGATTGAGCAACATCAAACAAGTTATATAACAGAGTTTGATTGTGGTGTTGACAAAACAAGTCAAACTCATCTAATATGAAAATAACTGGTTTGGAACGTTTCTTATCGCCTGACTTTAAAGAATCAAGAAGAAAAGTCAAATTTTCAGCAAAAGTGCCAAAAACTTTATCACCAACCACATTTTCCAATTGCATTTGACGTGTAGCATCTTTCAAAGCCAAGCGATCATCAGTGTGAACAAGACCATGAAGATTCACTATCAATGCATTCTCTTTGAAACTTTTTATATACGACAATTCTTTTAAAGCACTGTTTATCAACTACAAGAAAATAAAGATCTATAGAAAGACACATTGAACTAATTATATTTTTTCTAATAAAACTAATAACAGAAAACATACTGTTGTTTTTCCACTACCCCTAGGTCCAATTAACAAAGCAGAATTACTTTCACCCATTTCCACTGTTCTTTTTAACAACTCTAATATATGCATTCTTTCTTTAATATGATGCCTGAACTTTGTCTCAGGACACATAATCTTACGTTTTAAATATTTTCTTGTTAACAATATCATATTGTCTTGGAAATCAATTGCCATATTTTTCTTATTCATATTAACTTCTCTAAAACGCGCCAAAATTTTACTATTAATTTCTCGTTAAGATAAGTATAGATTAAAATATGATGGATTAAATAGATTAAACTATGGATTAAAATATGATAGAACAATAAGTTTCTATTTATATCTTATCCATAAAATTATTTCATTCATAATTTCGTTTCGTCACAGAATTTAAGATAAAATTTGACGATCATGTAGCATCCCTGATTAGCCAAATATAACCTATTAATTTTAGCAGAAGATGTGTACAGTACCTTCAGATCGTACTTACTGAAAGATTTAACTCGGTTAATTCGTTATTGATTAGCCGATCAAAGGATCGAGATACTATTTTTACAGATTCTAAGATATATGAGAAATATTGAATTTTAAAATTATAGAAACACTGGAACCAGGTTGTTTACAAAACAAATATGGAAGACGCAGAATCCAACATAGACAAGAAAAATTGCACGTTTTTATTTAAAAGGAGGAAAATCCGAAGCACTGCGGCCAGAAAACGTAAAACAGCAAATGACGGAAATGGTAAGTATAATTGAGGAACATCAGATTTTTCTTCTAACGTTCCAATGGCTGTAATTTCATTATATAAACTCGATTAGTATTATCTATAGGTTATGTTTATTGCCTATAAGTAATAACGTATATCTTGTATTTCTTAAATAGAGAGCAGTGAGGATGAAACTACAGTGGTTAAGAAGGAGAAGAAACAAGACGATAATAATCCTATGAAACAAAGTGTAAGTATTGGATAGAACCGTATGTTTGCCTCTAATTTAAGCAGATTATAATATTCAATGAAATTCAAGCGTTAACAAAAATGGAAACTTGTTGTAAATACAGCATTTTGCAGACTAATACGAAGAGATTAAAAGATCAGCAGAAAGATATTGACAATGATAGCAGTGAGGAGGAAAGCGTTACAGTGTCTTACAAAAGTTCTAGAACTCCTATGCCAGCAGGGCCAAGCGATCAAGGAGCAACAGCAATTTTGGAAACAGAGACGGAGAAAGACAAAGATGCTCAAGCTTTGTTTGAGAAAGCTCAGAAAATTAATGAAGTAAGTATAAAAGTACAATGCAGAAATATCTGAGGATAGAACAATATCATAGGAGGATAATAATGTTTATCTTAGGAACTTGAAGGAAAAGAAGATGACAAGATTTATAGGGGTTTGAACAATTATGCTCAATATTACAAGAAAAAGGATACAGCTGCTGGAAATGCTTCTAGTGGTATGGTTCGCAAAGGACCAATTAGGGCACCATCCAATCTTAGAGCAACTGTTAGATGGGACTATCAACCAGATATTTGTAAAGATTATAAAGAAACTGGTTTTTGTGGCTTTGGAGGTAAATATATTTAAAACCTTTGTAGCTCTTAAAAGACTAATCATTTATTCTACTTCATTTCATTTCAATTTCAGACAGCTGTAAATTTCTTCATGATCGATCGGATTACAAATTGGGTTGGCAGTTAGAAAGGGAAGCTGCAACGGGAGAATACAATAATAGTGGAGACGAAGATGATAAGAAATACGAAATCGACAGTGATGAAGAGACGTTGCCGTTTAAATGTTTCATTTGTCGGAATAGTTTTACAGATCCTGTCGTTACCAAGTATGTATTAAATATTACACTCTAAAAAAAAAAATGCAGTCAGACATAAAATATATGAAAATATATTTTGTCTTTCAGATGCAAACATTATTTTTGCGAAAAATGTGCTTTAGAGCATTACAAGAAAAGTACAAGATGTTATATATGTAGTGTACAAACGAACGGTGTGTTTAATCCAGCGAAGGAGCTAATCGCACGAACGAAGATGGAAGAGAAAGCAAAATCTGTCGAGGACGATGAAATTTCTGACGAATAATAAAGTATATATATTTTTCTTCGACATAGTAGTATTTTTTCCCCGACAGTTGCAATTTTTTATATATATCCGTATCCTGATTTTTATTGTATCAGTAAACAGAAACCTATATTATATACTTAAAAACTTTTGTTTCTAAGTAATTTTAAATCCATTCACCAAAAGCTGTACCTTCTCATGTTAAAAAAAAAAAAAAAAAAATGTGTCAAATATAACTGGAGGAAAATACGAGCGGGTAGGTCGACAACCCTTGCCAGCAAAGGGTCTAGATTTGGAAGACCTCGGTATATGAGCCATTCCACAAACACTCGTCGAGTTGATGTTGAACAAGGGCCGAGGGGAGGCACAGTGGTGCTTTTGCTATATAGAGCGAAGGTGATTCTAGCTGCTCGTAGTTGTTTCCTCAATCGATACACGCGCAGTGTTGTTTGCCTCATACTATGGAAATGTTACCGAAGTTGCTCGTTTTCAACGGGCATCGAAGAAACTTGTAACACCAAGATGCAAACGTCACGAAATCATTCGAACAAGATATCAGACGACAAATGTGAGATCGTGGAGATCTGAAGAAGTTGCAAAACGGAGCTATCACTGCGAGAAAGGGTTCGAGGGTTCTCGTATCAGCCACTTACCGTCCCTTTCATTGATTTCTAAGACATGAACACCGCGCGCAAAAACTCGGAGGTGTAACGTGATTATCTAACAAACTGAAAGACTAATATAAAAAGTGTACGTGTTTTAATTGTAAATTAAGAAGATCAGATTAACAGGAATTTTCCTGCTGTGTAAGACATTTTCGGTGGATTGCCGGCTCGAGGTAGCTATTAGTGGCTGGGGCAATGCTACGTTAGTCGAATACCACGAGATTTTAATTGAGTTATGGTCAGTCGAATTCTGTCGTGCAAGTGATCCACTTCCCGACTGAATGAAACTCTACTCGGGCACTGGTGTCGTTTTAACGATCGTTTGCTATCAAACCGATCCTAGGACGCATCCTGCTACAAAGTGATAAGAATATGACGAGGAATCGTACGTTTCACGCGTGATGTTACGGTGTACGCGGTAAACAGCTGTTGTCAGAGTTTCTCCGGAGAACATCGACAGCAGCTTCCTAATTGAAATTGCACGTCTATCATCGACGATCGAACAATTCGTTTGATCCCAAGCGAAATTGATAAGCGGACGATCGACAACCGATGTTTCTGGTCCAATGTGTTAATCGTCGTTGAACGACACGCTCAGCAAATCAAGTGATGGAAAAACTAACTGTTAAAACGAACGTGCGGAAGGTGTTACGTTTCGCGGAAATCTTCTATTAACCAGGTAATACGGCAAAAAGTGCCACGCTATTGAAATGAGTTATTTTAATATGCGAGCACACATACTTAGTCGCGTTCCTATTGAAATTCACGTACGTGCTTAAACATGTACGACAAGAGGTCCACAGACCTCGAACCGCGTATAGTGTGTTAAAAATTGTTCAAAGATATTATTAAAAGCGTTGGAAATAATGAAAACTTTCAATACTTATAAATATTTCTTTTTTTTTTTTTGTGGAACTTTAAGCCAACAAAATCGCAACTTGAAAAATTACTACTATTTTCAAAGAGAGAAACTTATTGTGATCATTTTTTTATGCGTTCCAAAATTGCTTAATAGAAGTTATTAATCTTCTTAACAATCAATTCTATCTATTTTATAATACAGGCTTTTCAACTACATTTTCAATCAGGTTTAAAATATGCTCCATCTTTAAATAATTATTTTTAATCTGCGCGTACTTTACTCCATTTTGCAAATCAATTTCATTTCCCTTCAAGTTTCATTTAAATTTAAATTTGACATCTTTGGTGGAGCATTTACCGATTTCTGATAGTCATAATAGTATCTGAATTTATTTTATGATACTCACTGCTGTGCCTCTTTTATATATTCCATTTTGCAAATCAATTTAATTCTATACATAAATGTCAACATGTCTAATTATCAAACCTACATTTGACATTATTCCAATCAGATTTTGAATTTTATGTATCTACTATAATTATAATTATTATTAATTAATAATAATAATTATAATTATAATTTGTATTTATTTGAAACAGACGTAATAGTAATTTTTATACAATTTTAAACTTGCGTGCGATTGATTTTGTGATCAATCTTGCAAATCAGTTTTATGCCTACATTTCATATCGTTTCAATCAAACTTAAACTAAACGTTTAAAGTGATATAATTACCAATTTGCGACAATCATAACGGTAATTTTCGCACAATTTTAGACTTTAATTTTGTGACTCCGTTACATCTGCACCTCTTCTATTCTACTTTACAAATCAGTTTTATCTGGTAACGTATATCAGCATAGTTAAACATCATGTCTGTCAATCTAATGCAATGCGAATCAGCATACTTGAACGTAACATTCAATGTGATAAAATTACCAGTTCGCGACCAATTGTAATTACAATTTCCATACTATTTTAAATTTGTCCGAGAAATTTTGTGACTCACTGTATCTGGCTAATTACCGCTAATCACCAATTAAATACAGTTATCGTCGGCGGTATTTAAGTCCATGCGTATCACTGGTGATCTGTGTTGCGCACGGACGTCGACGTTTTCCACGCGAATATTAAAGCGAACCGAGGTAGGGTGTTGCAGTTAGTGAGAGACCGGATCGCACGACGCGTACATATACACGGCGGGTCTGTCGCGAAATTTTCTGTTATGCGTCACAAGCGCTACAGAAATTCAACGAGTGCGGATTGTAATACGTTGCCAATCGAACACGTGTGGCTTCTATTTCCTATCTGTCGGACGCCGATACAATACTCGCGTAATCGTCATCGTCATCGTAACAGACGATCCTACCTAGTTGCGATTCGTGTACGGAGACATTTCGACGAGGATAATCAATTTTATCAGAAAATACACGCGTTTATAAGTGTACGCGTCGCATTACAAGGAGCATGTGATCTAATCTAGGGATTTAAAAAAGAATAAAGACGAACAGGAGATGTGAGCTTCTCCGTCCTTTTGTTATTGATATCGGTAAGGAGATCGTGTGATTCATTTAACGTACCTTAACTCTTTCACGAGTGAGTGTTTCTAGTCTGATAATCTTCCAAAGGAAGTGTATATAGTAATTAAAACAGCGTAGAAATATATTTCTTTTCGGGCGGTTTTCGTGGAGGAGATCCTTGGTTTGGGTTTAATCCTTTTAGGATTGCTTTTCAAGTCTAATCATTTTCTGGAGTGTTTTATATCATATTTATATTAATATCATATGTTGTTCGAAGAAGGTGTAATGTATTTTTAAGAAAGATAAATACGTGTATCATTCAGTTAATTAATGTTAATAGCCTACGAGGAGAGTTATTTACTAATTATTAAATAGTATAAACACATTCGTTCGAGCGTTTATCATTTAGTTGATTAGTAATTAATAGCCTACTGTTACTGTTTCAAAGAATTACTGTTTCAAATGATTTAAGCAAAGAAGAAAATTCCAAACAAATTCTACCGAAAGCAAACGCGTACAATTGATTAATAATTCATTAAAGCACAAACGTCGGATACGCGCAAAAGGATTAACCGGGGAATTTTATTTTTCAATTTGTTTGAGATTCTCGCGTCTGATTCGTTTTTATGCAATTCGTACACGGCGTGTAAATTGGATGTACGTGCGCGTAGATACAGCCTGTTTTATCACGAAAGTGTTCACAAATATTTGTCTTTCTTGAATATTTCGTAATCCGAGTGTTCGTCAACTTCCTACTGCATCGACTGCTTATGTTGTTTGAAATTTCACAACAAGAATATTTTTCTAATAATAATTGTATCTTGCTAAATATTTAATAATAAGCGTGAAATACGCGTTATCAAACGGCATGATGATTCAAAGAGTCGCTATTATCTCATAGATCAAACGATCAATGAGAATGAACAAATATCGAGTATAGGAAAAACGAACAAATATCGTGTGTATGATACTCCGTTGACGTTTATTACGTGACTACTTTATCCACTGTGCACATTCGATGTCCGAACACGATATAGCACGCGCGATCAACGAAAATTATACATTTATGTCCTGAGCAAGTTTCAGGGATGAAAGTTATAGGCGATCAAATACATATATGTATATACATACATACATGCGTTTTAACTATCGCAATTCTTGGAACCACTAAAAATAATTGCGCGCCAGAAAAGTGATATAAATGTAGCATATTTTTTTTCATGAACGTTATAAATTCAGGAAACGACAGGTAAGATCCGTGTTTATTTAGAGGATTTTTTAATGAATTTATTACGTTTGTACGAGAGCGTGTCTGACAATATGCTTTGGTATGCATGTGTCGATGTACATGTATAGATTTTGTTAAGGATAAATCTTTTTCGATTAAAGTCGAGATTTGTAATGTTCCTTGTTTCTCAATTAATTCACATTATCGAAGTTTGATTTCAATACCGTAGTTGTGAAAGACAATTCCAAAGATATTTGGATCAGTATTTTTTTTCTTTTAACCCGGGACTACCCACGTGAGGGTCTAGTCGCCGGGATGTACCTGCGCTAGACCCCCAGGTGGGTAATCCCGGGTTAACGAAATAAAGTACATATTTGTAATGCTATGATAATTTCTTTTTCAAATTGTGCAGAATCTTTTAATGTCTAAATCATCTAATTGTACGAGACAATGTTTGATTATATATTGTTACCATAATTCAATTTAATTATTTATAATTTATTGTTATTATTATTTGATTTAATTTAAGGCATCCCGTAATTCGTCATGTGAAGAAAAGGAACATTACGTTTTCCTACTTGGATTAAAATTTTAGAGAAAATTAAAAAATTAACTCGAAAAATTAAATATTCGTAAATCGAAAGAAAATTCTAAACACTACTTAAGAAAAACTGCGCACGATAAATCGTATAAGATCCCAATTTCTTGAAATAGAATATTTAGGATATTTGTTTTGTTGCTCAATAATTGCACAACAGTTCAATAATAGTTTTTTGGCAATTATTAAAGGAGCAGATTAAACTTTCAATTTATCATTTTATTCGCGTAATTGATGTTTCCGGTATTCTTTTAATAAGAAAATGACAACATCTAAAACTTGTCAGTTATATCCATGAATTTTTGAATAAAATATTTAAAAAATGTATAAATATATCTAGACATGAAATACATGAATACACGAAATAATTTTCGAAAATTATTCTGTGTTTGTGACTATACTCGTCGTCTTTTAATTTTAGCTACACAATTAGCAGGTTAATTGTTCAAAATTTCAGAATTTCATCGCTTTGTATCATTTTTCTTTTAAACCTTTCAATCGCAGCAAAGTCAATAGTATCTACCATATATTGATATTCGATTTACGTCAATATATAGCTGGCAAATTTCCCTCCCTCGAATATTTTCCCTCTTTTTTTCGTTTCTATCAATTAATCATCCATCGACCAGAGAGAAATGAATGAAAAATAGAAAAAGGCGAAGCGTAAACGCGTGGGAGTAGAGGCACATCGCCGTGCTAGAGGGGCGGGGAGGGGGAAAAGAAGTGATAGGGGAAAAAGTGAGAAAAATGTCAAAAGAAGAGATACAAAAGGTTGCGGAAACGTAGACTTTCCGTTATAGTTAACAATGCCCACCTCGTCGACGTTGACGCAAGGTTGACACGTGTAGTTGTGTGTAAGTTAAATAAAGCTACATACGTGCGGACTGTATATTCATAGGCAGTGTATGATCGGACTTGTATGAGTCTGAACGCGAATCGATAAATTAGCGTGCCGACGTGTGTGTTTGATGACACGTTTCGAACTCGTCTAACCGAGATAATAAATGCCTACGAAAAATGCACGCTCCGATGCAACTTTTGATGACGTAGTCATCGGTTGACGCAAGATGAATATTATGTGCAAATAAGATATTTCTAACGTCTTTCGACAAGCTTTTTTTGCGTCAGTAAATGACGACAACTTTAAATCTGAATTATCTTTCTCGTAGAAATTTTACAAATTTACACAATGCAACGTAGATTTTTCGTGACTTTATACGAAGTATATGAATAAATGTGTTTCCTTATGTTCGATATACAGGGTAATTCGCGCAATTGTAACAATCTATATTTTTTTTTCTTTGAAGTTAGAAAAAGATATTAGATGAAAAACACGAATGCTTCAAGATAGACTGTTGTACATGAAAAGCAAAAGCAAAGTACAATAATGCATGTGCATTATGAATGAAAGCATTTCTCTTTTTATATATGTATATTCTTTCGTTATTTCGCATAAAAAAGATATTACTGTCATATGATACAGGAATGACTAGTTTGAAAGATATTTCAATTTTGTAAAACTTGTTTCGTAAAAGATAAGCAAAGACATTATGTATTATACTACTCTTGATACTAATTTTTCATGTTCTGCAACTATCTGCAAGATAGTGTTTAAATTCATCAATTATTGATTATGTCATTTTAATACTTTTTTTATGTAAAATGATGAGAGAATTTGATGTATAAAACAAAAAAAAAAAAAAATTTCATTTAGAAAAATGAAATTACATTTGCGCAAGGAAGATAACAATGACTATGTAGTCATAGGTACACGCACAATTCATCTTTTCTATATAATATTTTTCTCTATCTCAACCAAGAAAAGAATATAACTTGTTACAGTGTGTTTGTAACAAAATATTAAAACTATGTATTACTCAAGCAGAGAAAAACATTCAATTTGTACTTTATCAATAGGTTCCTTAATATATATTTATAGCAGTGAACTTTTCATTGTATAAGTATAATATAGTACATAGTATATCTTTTATATATATTATAATATAGTACATAGTATATCTTATCATAGTAATATCTTTTATAGTATAAGTAATAAATCTAATGTTAATAGCAATCGTTAGACTGTGAATACTGTGGTACTTGTGAGTAAATTTATCTATTTTATCTATTGTACATAGATAAAATAAATTTGGATAGACTTCATTCCGTTAATTATATTTATAATAATTAATTAATTAATTTTATATTATTATAATAATTTGCAAAAGAAAATCAAATTGTTATATATGAAATAACCGATTTTACAATTGTATGAATAATTTAAAATTTAGTAATTTTTATGAGATTGGTATTTTATGAATTATTGTATTATAAAAAGGTAGATTCTATGTATACTACAGAGATTATCGCAATTTGAAACTTCGATAAAAGTTGCTCGTAATATTAATACGGATTATTGAGAGAAGAGATGAAAAGAGAGAAGCTACGTGTTAAAATTATATTTAAAAAATACGAACATCAAGAACAGTAATAATTATATTTTTTTTGAAAATGTATTGAATTAATGTTATTAATTAAATAATGTTCTTGATCAGCGCTCTTTTCAAAAAAACTTTCATTAGAAATTTGACCATTTCATCAGTAATGTAATATTCACAGTCTAGTAATAGCTAATTAACATTTAAAATTTTAAATGTAATAGAAAAACAACCTGTAGAAAAAATAAATGTGTAATAAATAGAGTGCGGATTTTTATACAAATTCATATTTTCATAGATACAATTAAAAGAGTAGTCTAATTATAAATATTATAAATAACATTATATTTTGGATATTTTATATCATGTTTGTATATATTAAATTTCATATCATAATTCATATATTCATAGATAGAATTAAAACCTAGTCAGAAATTTGTTTTACTGATTGAATATTATATAAAAAGTGCCATATTTCGGATATTTTGCGTTATGCGTATTTTATGCTATTACGTATTTTTGTATCTTCAAGTTTCTTACGGTTGTATGAAAATCCGCAATCTACTCATAAATAATAAGTATATAATAAGTTCTTACGTTCGTACGATGTTGCAGATGGTTTGTGGCAGTGCGAGGAGTCCCTCGTCGGAGGAGGAAAGCCAGTGGCTCGTTGGTAGCGGGGGTGGTCCCGCATCTTCCAGCGGTGGTGCGGTATCCGCAACTGGAGAACGCTCACTGACCATTAGAGGAGGATTATACACCGAAGAAATGACAACTCAACCGACGAACGCGAACGCGGCAGGTGCAAACGCGGCCTCAGCCGATTCCGCTGAGCACGATCTCATTGACTCGACCGCCGATGCGACACTTTTAGCACAATTTCACGAGGAGGCTATCAGTCAGGTATCTTTGCCTCTCGCCGTTTAGATTACTTCCAAGTTTAGTTTTCCAATCGAATGCTGTGTGCGTTGCAACCGTTGTGAACTTCATCCTTTTCATCATTTTTATCTTTATTATCATTATCTTTTTATTATTTTTACGTTATTTTTATTTTTATTATTTTTATATTATTTTTACTTTTAAGTTAACCGTTAAGTTATTTTCCATGATGGACGTACTTCCGTTTCAATTTTATCAGGAAGTTAGACTCGTGACGTCACAACTCATTTTGCTTGTTGAAACAAAAAACCGTTAAATTAACCCTCTGGTGTTGAGTCTGTGATACTCGTAAATATTATTGCTATTTGTATAAATTCGTCGCCGAAGGATTAATACTGTCTATGTTGGAATTTAATATCGACTCTATTATTGGATACGATCATAAAATTTCTTAGCAAATTCTCGTTTTATAGCCATTTTGAGCAAAAAGAATCGTCCATGATAGATATATAGTGACGCTGGTTCACAATGTTAGAGTGTCCACTTTCAATAAGAAATATTTGATGTAATTTTACTTACACGGGGTTGAATTATTACTGTATTCAAACTTCACTTCACGTATACGACAATATTGAGCACTTTCACTAATATTCCAAGCAACGAAATTAAGAAAAAGTCGCGAAATTCGGAAAGATTTCATTACCGACACGCACACCGTTCCGGAAGTTCTCGAGTAACTAAAATTTAAACGACAATCGCAAGCAAATGGCGATTATCGAAATGTATCGAAGTATCGATTGTCGATCCTTTTCTTAACGTCCTTTTCTGAAGCACAGAGCATAGCCGCGGGCCAATGAGCTTATACATATTTGAAATCTCTATTTACATTGGCTGCTGCATCTTTTTCGACACATCGAAATTAAATGTTGAACTTTGGTTAATCGAACAACAAAAACATAACCTACAGCAAATGGCGTCCTTTTTGGCCAAGTTATTTTCTTCAACTATTTAATTAGCTTTTCACTGCCGGTGTTTGAAATTTCCTATAGTGGTTCGTCCAACATGGACGAAGTTTTAGATGAATCGATTGTTAAGACAAAATACGAATCGAGAGAGATACCGGGCTATCTGGATGATTTCCCAGTAAATACATTTGTTTCCTATAATTTATTTGGAGGTTACACTTGTATTTTTATCAATTATAACTATACAAATCTATATGCTATTATCCAGATGAATTTAATAAACAATAATACGAATAACTTACTATTTACTGTATATTATTTGGAATATTTCTGCCATATGTCATCGTTGTATATCAAATTATATTAATCTGTTAATTATTTTTCAGGCTGGTGTTGGTTATTTTCAAGTATTGGCTGCTCTTTGCACTGGCTTGAGTCTTGCAGCAGATACTGTTGAATTTTTTGTTGTACCATACATTTTGCCAAGTGCAGAGGTTGAACTGTGCATCGAGGACAATGAAAAAGGATGGCTCAGTTAGTTTTTATTTCATTACTTCTTGTAATGTACTACCTCTTAGATATTTCTGTTCTTAATTCTTATGTGTTTCTATTTTAGGCAATATTACTTTAATGGGTCTTGCATTAGGAGGATTGTTTTGGGGTGGCTTAGGAGACAGGATTGGTAGACGCAGATCTTTATTGTCTGCAATGTCTGTTCATGCTTTATTTAGTGGTGTAGCTACTTTCATGCCAACATATGGAACATTCATGTGTGCTAGATTTTGTTCTGCAATTGGGTAAGAAATGTTGTTTTTTGTTTTTTCTTTTTTATATTTTAGTACTATAAGCTCATTTGATATGAATTATTTATTTTATTTCACTACAGAGTAGGAGGATCTTTACCATTAGCATTTGCATATCTCGCAGAATGTTGTCCAAGATTAAGCAGGAGCAGATGGATTGGTTTGTTAGTAGCAGCAGGAGCACTGGGAGGCGTATATGCAGCTCTTCTAGCGTGGGTGGTGGTTCCTACAACTGGAGAGATGGTGGTCCTTGAAAACAAAGAACATTTCAGTGCTTGGCACCGCTTCCTTTTACTTTGTTGGTTACCTGCATTATGCTCCACTGTTGGACTCATTTTTCTACCAGAAAGTCCAAGATATTTGGTAGAGGCAGGCAGAGATGTAGAAGCAATGATGGTTTATCAGGTATTTTTTGATATCTATGCTTGAGAAAATGAAAAATGATTTTATTTTTAAAATTAAAAATATAAAAAATTAATATATTTTTTTAGAAAATATACAAAAAGAATAATTCACGGAAAGGTGCAACAGGTGCACAATATCAACTTTCTGAATTAGAGCTTCCAACCAAAAGGCCTCGTGGTTTGGCACCTCCATCTCCTACTAATCATACTAGTGTTTTGGCTGACATTATTTATTCTATTGAAATGGTATGAATTTTTTTTTATCTTATGTCTTCAAAAACTAATAAATATTTAATTTTTATTAAATTTCTAGTTTTGGAATTCCTTCTTGGAATTATTTATATCGCCTCATTTGCGCGTCACGGTCGTGCTTATAATTATTTGGTCAACTGTATCATTTGGGTATGTATTTTCATTATATACGTTCTTATCTTCTCTTAATATCTTGTGATACTATATTATTTTACATTCAGATTATATGGCCTTATGGTGTGGTGTCCTGAATATCTCAAACTTTTACGTGCTACGGAATATAAAACTCATACTAAATTGATTTCTGGAGAAGAATACAACGGGCAAACATTCAACGGTTCTTTGGAAAATTGTCAATATAAAGATTCGATATTTTTAAACTGCAAGTAAGTAGATGTAGCAAAAAATATGTGAAATAATACTGAACTGAACTGAATATGAACATTTGTTTCAGATTCACTAAAATGGTATTCAGTCACGTAGATTTCGATAATTGTACTTTTCGATCTGTAGAATTCAGTAACATAAAGTCTAGTAAAACTCATTTTACAGATAGTGTTATTATGCATTCGAAGTATGTATTTAAAATATTAATATTCAACAACGATGCTTCTTTTTCATATAAAATACATGATTGTTTCTGACTTTTAGATTTGTAGATACAGATCTATCCGCACAAGTCTTCACGAGATGTAAGTTGCAAAATAATACAGAGTTAAGTTTAAGTGGACCGTGTCCGACTCTCGATTTGGATTATAATATTTACATAGAAGAAGCATTACATGGTCATCTTGTTGCTCAATTGGCATTTGTGCCTGCTGCTGCTTTAGCAGGATTAGCACTCGCCGTGCTGCAACGGCCAAAAGTGATTGGTATTTCTTTGTTTTTCTCGTCAATAACTGCTCTGTGTTTAATTCTGGTCGACACAAATAGTTCTGCTGTACTTGGCTTCGAAGGTGGTTTTATAGCAGTTTTTGCTATTGCTTGGACGTCTCTTACCTTGGTTACAGTTGAGAGCTTCCCTACTCATTTAAGGTAAATTTGATTTTGATTATTATTTTGTTAAAAAGAAAAAACTAATAAAATATATCGAATTTATAGGTGTACTGGTTTCGGTTTTGTAGCAGGCGTTATAAGGTTATGTGGTTTAATAGGAACTACAACTTACAAAACCTTAGTTGGCGCACCTCTAGTTGCGCCTGCACTGTTAACTGCATTACCCTTGTTAGTAGCTAGTGTTGCAACATTCAAATTGCCTCATACACATACAGTTTTCTTGTAAGAATCGCAAGTAAGTGGTAAAAAATGCAAATGTCATGCAAAAGACATTTTTAATTTATATTTTAATGAGTCACTTGTGGATTGACCTAATATTTTTATTCAATATTCTCAGACGATATGAAAGATCTCATGTTACGTTATGAAATCTGAAACTTCGGTTTCAACTAGAAATGTTTAAACGAAAATTATGTAAAGTGAAGTGTTTTAGACAAGTGCAAATTTTAAAATTTGCAAATTTAACAACCAATATTCTTCTTTTGAAGTGTGACTTCGTACAAAGTGACATATCCTAAACTAGTAAATAGAACGATAAATCGTGGTTTACATAAAAATTTGATTATTTAAAGCGCACAGAGGTTACAGAGAAGCCGTCTCGTACGCTAGGATATGGACTTTCTACAAGATTTTAATAAACGTGTTTTAAACGCTGACGAAGGCCATTGTTATAACAGAAAGATCTTAGGAAAAAAAAAGAAAAGACAAAGGACGTGTGAAGAATTAATATTTGACTCATATTACACGAAACCTCATGTAATACTTGTACTCCGAAATTTCACTCCATCTAACTTCAAGCCATTATAAAACTTAAAAAAAAAAATCATAAAATACGCAAATGTTTATAAAGCTATTTTAATAGGGCAATAGCCACGAAATGTGTCAATTTTGATGGATGTTAAGATTAAAAGTTGTCATCCACACTGATGCGTCAACATATAACTAGAAAATTGAACACTAAAAAATTTTGCTTATTAAAATTGCATATGAATATTCAGGATAGAAAAATATGGAATGTTATTGTTCATAGTGCATAGACTTTTCTTTTGTTTATAGTTAGACTAGAGAGATTATGCATGATTCCAAAATTACTACATTCTAAGTAATTCGATTGAGAAAGTTTGCCAAGGACAGTATCATGGAAATTTTTATATTTACGATTGCTACATACGCTTTTGCCATTTGAGAAATTAAATATATATGTATACATATACATATATATCTTAAGGAGATAGATAAGAAACCTCGAATCGAGTAATAATAAACTCTTTCTACAGTGAAAGGAAGGTAATTGAGCAAGCAAAGACATTATTCGGTACTTTTGCTTTTTAACGATCAACTAGCTTACATTCACTTTAGACGCTAGACTCGGCTAAGAGGCATTATCCATGTAACTCATGTAAATGCTGCCGTTCGAATCTTAAATTCTCTCAAACTGAAGACTTGGAACTCGAGAGATAGAAGCTTAGCTTCATTTATTATAAATTCGAGAGATTATCGCCTCTAGTCAACTTTTAATCAACTTTAAGCTTACAAAATACGAATGAACTATAAAGAAAGGAAATACGTCGAACTTTCTAACACTTGTAAACGATGTAGATCACATTATTTTCTACAAAATAATGAATGTAAACTTAATTACCATCATAATTGTAAAGATTACTAATTGCATTTTGGAAATACTTGGCTAGAATTTTATTGTCATCGCGGGAAAGAGGCCGTGACGACATGCCAAAGTTGAAAAATACATTGGTTCCTCAGAACGGATGACTATTTTTAGGCAATAAGAACGTAAAGTAAGTTTTACGATATGATTATCGACATATCTCAGTCTTATTGAAACTTAAAATACATTACTAAGTATTTAAGGAAGTTTATTAGTGAGATAAAGACAAAACTGCTGTTGGCAAACTTAATCACATAAAAATCTACGTCCCATCATGGTTAGTGAATTTTTCATATCAAATTGTTGGTATGTAATTTAAAAATACAAAAAAAGAAAAAAATGATGTTAATGTTATGAATCAAGCGTTACGATTAGCGCCATTTAACAAGAAGTAGAAACGTGCGCGTGTTGAAATTTTATTGTTCGCACAAGTTTTCGTATAATAACCCTATTTTTTATCACGAGGCAACCACGTGATGATTTTAGTGTCTAAAAGAACTGCTGCTCGTTCCTACTTCCGCAAACTGTATTTGTAAATTTGACAATGATGTAAGCCTGTGCTGGCATTGCAAGACAAGAATAATTACAAGAATAAATTAATTTTCTTGTTTTGCTTGACATGATAGACTTGTACTCGCAGAATTAAATTTTTGTAACTTCTTTGATTTTGGGACCATATAACATCATAGTTAATAGATTATCATAAAAGGTCTCCAACGAAGTTTTTATTAAAAAAAAAAAAGCAAATTGTCAGCACACGGATTTCCACGTGATTAAATTGTACTACTATACTATCAAATTCATCGTCGCCCGTAGATAATATATTTTAATCGACATATCACTTATGAACGAGCACTTTAGATTCGTAGGCTTTAATTAGACTATCGACTAAACGTATGTAGAATTATGTACCAGGAAACGATGAATCAAATCGGTAAAATAGCGGTATACAAGAAAACTACTAAATAGTCACTAAAAGTTGAGGATCTTTTGTTTAGCGAATATAATTAATTATCAGTATACGGATTGATTATCAGCGGATCGAACAATGTAATTATGTTAGATTATATTTTAACATGAAAAATACTCGTGAAAATTACTCGAGTGATATTTAGTGCAATGTTATATTGTTAAGTATAATTATTTTATTTTTATCCTGAAGAACAATTGCACGAATATAGACGAATGTTTTCGTTTTGTTATATTGTGCACTGGTTTCATGAAAAAATAATTAGTCAGATATTCAACTCTTGAAATATTGGATTATATTATGCAGAAAGAATATCATGTCATTGATACATAATAATGTTATGTATTCAGTAATATATTTTAAACTAGATATTTATCTCTTTGTTTTATTTTATATGGACTGAAAATAAGGATCAGTTGATAATCACCGTAGCTTTTGCTTGTTTTTATAACAGAGACTGTTTTTTTTTAAATTTTTAAATATGTAATATTTAATTAATTAGAAAGACACGAGTATGTCGTCCAGTGATAGAAAGAACTTAATTCTGGTTGCGCTTTCTACCAAGTAATTTCTATGATAATTTAATATCGTAAGCACTTGATTAGTAATTGCAATTTTTATTTTCACTTTTTAAAACTAAAATGTTCTAAATTACAATATTTATGTATAGCGTTTTCAATGCATGTATGTTTGTTTTGAATAACTTATTAATGTTTTCATAATTGGTTTGTTAGTCACATGTGAAAAGTTTCGGTCATTTCTGTGAATGAAAGATAATATTCATCAAACTATGCAACCAGTACTTAAAAAAAAGTAAACTACAATACTATTTGCTAATACATTGAATCATTAAGGAATATTAATTTGAAAAAAGTAGCAAGAGTATTACGCGTGTAGAACATTCGTTCGAACACTCACGTAGAACATTCAGTCGATTTATTAGAGACTGTTAATTATAAGATAGACTCGGAATAATGAAGTAACTTCTCCCTTAAACATTCGAACAATTGCATTAAAAATTTATTCGTTTTCGATACTACATTACAATAACAGAAGTAATGTTTTCTTTTCTTCGTACGAAAAAATTTAGTACTTTAACTTTTTTGTATACGAAAAAACTTCGACGTTTTAAAAATCGAAAAGACCATTTGCATGATTTTCTAAACAATTTCTGAGAGCTTCGTTTTTTCGAAAGGTGACAATGGCTGCGATTTTTTAAATAGCTTTTTTTTGAGGGACCCAAAGGAGCAGAATGTAAAAGAATAGGATAACTCGGATGCTTCGTATAAGATACGTATGCGGATGATGAATTGGTTAATTGGTATTACAGCAATATATGTATACGTAAAAAAAAAAAACAATTGTTGAAACAGTCGCAATTATAGCTTTAAGTACATATATATTTATCTTGCAATACTTTTAGAACACTCATTTTACGATGGAAATTTGTATATAATTTGTAAGGAAAAATCTACATGCTCTTGCAAATTTTATGGCAATATGTAGTAAATTGTAATATTAACTGTCATAATAATTATCATTGTTATCAATGTCATGTATGGCTCAGTCGATTCAATTATTGAATTCAATCTCTCAAATCGACACAACTTGTATATCATAAAAAAAAAAGACATGAAGTTTTAAGAGAACTTCAATATTCTTTTTTAGAATCATTTATAATAGAATCGTTTAAGATTGTTTAAAGTAAAATAATAACGCATAAATGAAGTATTTGTCGAATCATTACGAGCAGTCGCAATTCGAAAGCCGAATTGAATACTATATATATATATATATTGTATGTACTATATATATATATATATATATATATATATATATATATATGTACCATGTATGTCCTTTATTCCAGTGTAATTCTACTACAATTGATCGCAACATTCAAAAGTAGCAGGGACATTCAAATTCGTGATATACTGTATTCGCTCAGCTTTTTAAGTTAGTAAAAAATATATTTGAAGCGGTCAGAAAGAATTTATTGTCGATATAATATGTGTCAACACCTCTTATTTATATCCTAAAGTAAAAAGAATTTCTTTTATTATATTATTATTAAATAAATGAAAGATTAGACGAATGAGACAAATAAGTTTATTAATTTTTTCAATCATATTTATTATGCAATTGCTTCGTGAATGCAAAAATTCTTCTTTTTTAATTTTTTAATCGATTCTAGATTATAAAAGTTATTGAGAAATTAAAGCTTACCCGATTAATATGCTTTCCAAAGCTGATGCTTTCGATTATTTTCCAACCTTCAATTTTATTTTACAATTTGAACGTAGTTCATGGGAAGCTGTATTACTTGAGCAAATGCTTTGATGTATTCAGTAGAATTTATAAATTTTTATTCACGTATTTCGTAGATTAAACGAGACAGAGAAAGAAAGCCTAGGATCTAATTAAGAAGACAATTTTAAAGCTTCACAAATTAATTCTTGCAATTGGTTCTTTCATAAATGAAAATTTGACCGGTTGTGAAAAACTATCACCACGTAGCGGTGAAACAGTGAAACTAATCGTTTGAAATAAAAATCATAAATTTCTTTATTTTTTTTTGTGTGTATATTTAAATACATATCAATAAATTATATATTTTCTGCTATTAATAAACAAGGCAATATACGATATTATCTCAGATGTTAATTATAATTAATATTAATCAAAATTAATATTTTTCAATTTATTTAACTTTGGCGCTGATTAGTATCAGTATTTTACCGATAGATAGCGTCATCATAATTCACACTTGATTGATGCGATTAATTAATTCTGCGGAATATCAAAATGCAATTATGCAGAGAAAGTTCCTCGGAATTAAAAATTTAATTTAGTTGTCGAAATGTCAAAACATTTGACTTCTAAATCGATGAATTTAATTTTTCAATTTCATCATGAAAATATTAGTTCTATCTTTCTACCACTACGCGGCGATAGTGTTTGAATGTCCGAAACATAAATCAATCAAATTTTTATTTGCAAGAAAAAACATTAACAAGATTAATTTGTGATCTTAGTTATATTACAGTGGCAACATTTTTTCTTCACGTTATTTGAACTTCAAGAACGACATATAAAAAAGTACAAATTTGTCACTGATTATACATACAGCTGATTATATACATACAGCTAGGTATATACATATATAGTTCCTTAAGTTAATCTACTAATTGAAAAAGAAATAGAATTTCGACAGTTTTATAACTTTATATTTTATTAAAAAGAAATGTTCAATAAATGTTCAATCAAAGATTATCAATTAATTTATAATTTAATAGATAAAAGAGGATTAATGTGTCGGTATAAAGAACAGTTTCTTCTTTATCGACAGTAAGTTTTGAAGAAAATTATTTATCGACCAATTTTAAATAACAACTTTTTTAATTTTCCCATAAAACAAACATGGAGGATTATTAGAACACATAGATGCTATTGCATACCATGACTACTTAATAAGGTAAAATTAATTACTTTTATAATTAAAACAGACGAATAATTCAGGACAATAATCTATACTTTGAGTTATTAGTTAGAAACTAAGAGAGTCATTGTTGATATAGTAGATGCAAATATTTAAAGAAATACTGGCTATACCTGCAATGTTCCTTTGATATTTCCGGCCGATTTTTGACCTTGAGCTTGACCTTGGGTGTGTCTCCTTAACACAAGAAGTAGTACGAAGATAATCATGTTGAACGAGCCCTGACCTAACCTATTCTAGGCTATGTCTCTGTTCCTTATATACAGACAAAGCCTAGGAGAGGCTAAATCAAGTTACTCTGCCTCGTAGAAACAAACATCACATCGTCATTTTGTATCTTGCTACGTGCATTTTTTTTTTTTTTTTATGTACTTTTCCACATATATTATATTTTATAAACCGATTTTTCATGGAAATAACTTTTTAGTATATCTTCTTTTTCTAACGTTTGATCACTATACCAATTATCTCTTTTTATATGCAATGCAGCCTTTAAAAGACGTCAATCTTGCATACGCAATTTTTTCAACGGAGCTCTTTTTGCGACAGTGCTCCAGACCGGACGACACAAAGAAAGCGTGTCATGCCTAAAAATACGCGAGGCACGCAGGTAGATGTGAAGAGGTCGTAGGGACTGGGAGGGAATAAAAAAGGTAAAGGAATTGCACAAGAGCAGTGATTTGGTATTCAAATCGTTAGGCATGTTCCCGCCTCTCTCGCAGCACAGGTCCTCCTCCCATAGCAATAATATGAAGGCCTTCTTCGTTTAAATGTTTTCACTTCTTGTTCTTCCTCTACCTCCACGTCCTCTATCCTTTGCCCCTCCCTCCTACCTCTTTGCGTTCTCTTCTTCAGCCGTTTCTTAACGTTCAATCTTTTTTCCCTCTTGTCACACTCTTTACTTGATCACCTTGCATTCATTTGCATGGAATTATCATTCTTGTTTGTATTATCATTTTTTTAAGTACTCTAATTTTTTAAATTGTTGCTTAAAACAGGGAAACGAAAAAAATCTAGACAGTGTCGAATTTACTTTCATGCAAATATCTTTGTACGACTTCAATAATATTTGCAAGCGAAATTTGATCAACTGGTTGATTTATACTAATATCGTATTACTCGTTCACTTCCAGAAAGAAATGTCTTCGAGAAATTTCAATGCGAGGACGAAGCAGAAGCGTGGAGACTTCAACGACCGCACGTGCAATATCCGACCAGCACGATTGTATGAAGTCCAAATCATCAGGAGGCTCTTTACTTTGTATTTCCGAGTGTTTCACTTTCTCCTACTGCATCCGTGCGCTATGAAATGAAGTTCCACACCGCCGTCTCCGAGAAATAAACGAAACAGCGTTCATGTCGACGTTTCGTCACGGCTACGACTTGCACAGTCGCTCAACCGGATCCCGAACGTTCACCAGAGGAAAAGTTTTCTCATTTATCTGGAACTGAAGTTATTTGTATCGTTTCACACCGTATTAACTCGTAAATATTAAGCGCGTTGATGCGTGCTGCACTCGTGGCACTGTGCATTACGCGCTCTTGGTGTCCACGTAAAGTAATGAACCGAACGGAATTAGTAACGATTTCTCACTTGAATCAACGCCACAGATATTCGCAAATGTGTTCTATTCGTTGCAGAATATCTCCGACGAATGCGGATTTTCCCGCGTGTCATCGCACATTACACTGATGTCAACCGCGTCACAGATAGCCACGCGAAAGAAAGATAGTCATCCGTCTGCTAACCGGAAAAAATCTACCACAATGGAAAAGACAGCGAAAACTCACGTGTCTCTTGAAAGGTAAAGTGCAAGGAAGCGGCTAACGAAAACAGTGATTGGTATACGTGGCACCGGATTGGCCGGTGGCATACCTTGACAACACGCACAGTGTGCGCACATATCAGCAACCTGTGCACCCACTAACCACTAACCGCCGAACCACGGGAGGCCAAGGTGTGCGCGCGCCAGGATAATATATGTATCTACGTGCGTTAACCACGTGAGAGCGGCCAGCATCTTTCCACGGAGCCCCTCTGGTGGGGACTTAACCTATGGACTGCTCTTTGTCTCCGTCTTTCTCTTACATGAACCTTGAATCCTCGGGAAATAGCTGAAACTTTAATATATCAGTGAATTTCAATGCAATCGTTGCATCGATTTCACGATTTTTGTTATTTAGTAAAATTATTTTTAATCGATCGCGACTGTTCAAAGCTTTGCCATAAGAAAGTCGAAAATATGTATATCCATAATATTTTTCTCTTTTTTTTTAGGAATTGTCCGGAGAAGAATAGTTCGTTAACGGAAATGAACAACGGTGTTCCATAACTTACAGTCTTGTCTCGGTCTGTTCGATCTATAAACGGAGATCTGGTTTTTTTCGCAGCAAAACTCAACTGTGACGATGTCGTAGACATCGTTTATTTCGGCGTAGTACATTTCCTCGCACAGTTAGCGTTGTTTTTTATCTTCATCATTGCACTGTCATTTACTCGGCTTAATAGTTAGCGTTGGTGTCTCGTTTGCCAAGATAGGCGCTTACTTTTTTATTCGCCACCCCGTAGACGGCGAGTTCTCACTCAACATTCCCGGCAATCTCTGATCGACGAGTTTTTATGAAGGTCGTACGAACTACGTGAGCCTACCCACTTACCCAGCTGCATCGCTAATGTACGTGTTTATGCTATTTGTGGCCGCATCAGATGCGCGAAAAATGTATCCATTACATATAATATAAAAATTTATATTTATTATGCACACATTATATATAATATAAAAATTAATTATATATTACCGTAACAAATATTCAAGAGTATTGATAATTTTATCAATTTCCTGTAATATTATTTACATAGACGTGCATTTATAATTTTTGTCCAGGATGTTCAGAACATGGAATCGAAATCTGCGAAACACCAAAATTTTCTGCAAAGTAAGGATAGAAAGAAGGGAGAAAATATAAGCTCAAGGTTGCTATAACTGCGATCGTATCTCAATGATTGTGGGTGGTCCATAAGTTCTTTTGGAGACATAGCAAGTTTTGAATGAATTCGCAGTATACAAATACAGATGCAATTTATATAAAGAAGATTTTTCGAAAAATATAACGAATTTAGTAACAATTATACAAGATAAATTGATTAATTTATTGAACAATTTGGTCATATTTCTTTCAAAACATAAAAACTGTTTCATTTTTTTGCATATAGTACTAGCTTGCAACCAGTGTGAAACTTTATTTCGAATTGGTGGTCAGTATTCCGAATTCTCATTTGCAACTTCGAAGATGAAGATGGCGGCGGACTACGGTAATTTATTAACTAGTCCGGCAAGTCAAACCTGTTGGTTCCCTGCCGATGTGTTTTGCTTTTCGTGTTTGAACGCAAAGTACTGGTGTTGTTTGATATCGTTCTACAAAAAATTGTCTCTTGATCCCTTGTTTCAAAAATTCCTTGTTAGAAAATCATTTTCTATTTCTCTTTATTTGCATTAAAACATAAATTGTCATTAATCATTAATTGTATAAAAATATCTTGTATTTTAAATCAAACATATTATATTATATTTATACGAGTTGTCCCATGGTTTTAGTCTTCTCTCAATATAAAGGCTGACAACATCAGCACTTTTCTACTGGATGATCACCATAGCGTAATCATTACATTGTACTATAATTTTTATTTTTTCCATTTTAAAATAACAATTTTTACATTCTTATCTATTTATTTTAGATCAACAATATATTCCAAAGATTATTCATCAAGGAGTCTGCAAGAAAAATGATATCGCAGAATAATATCAACATTTATCGGTACATCATTGCATAGAAATATGATTAAAAGGAAGATGGTAACATTGAAAGTTGAAAGTTGGAAGAAAATTGCGAAATATGTCGTGCTGAACATTGTTACCTTTAAGCAATTGATATTCAATTCGTGTGCCTTCGCGATACATATCTCCTAATGTTGCAAAGACTGCACGATATAATTTCTGGACATTTATTTGGATTCCACGGATTCCTCCGTTGTGCTCTTGGCTCTTAACGGTTCGATATTATGCCAGTACTGTGATTCGCAATGGCGAGCAGCCAGCGGATAGGAAATTCTCCAGCAATGACGTAAAAAGGTAGTGCCCGGGGGGCATTTCTTTAACACGGCGCCACCCATACGAAGGCCCCCCTTCAGTGGTCGTACGAATCAAGTCTGTTTTATCTTTTAATCCTTAAATTTCTGTCAGTTCGATTTGATTAGTCGTCATTCGACAAATTCGATGTCGATTTACTTTTTTTAAAAACATAGAATCTTTTAATATTTCGCGAGCAATTCTTTAATATTTCGTCGAGTTAATGTCTATTAATTTAGTAAAATCATCGACGTATGTCTGAATATCTGCTATGTATGCAGATGTCCCTGACATTTATGCTGATGCATTTCACTTGTGTCATGTATATGCTGAACGTTAACTGTTGCTCACATCAATAGTGTGTTCTGTTCACAGCATGGTTTCCAACTGAGTTTGTCTCTCGTATAATATTGCTTGCTTAATTTTAATGCGATCCGCAAATGCAACGTTTTTATTCTCTTCGACACGTTATATTGTACGCGATAAAAATAGTTACGATATGATCAAAGAAGAAGCAATACGATTTAATAAGCTGCAACGCTACGATACCTGTTTCATATTTGATAAGGACGCTAAAGGAATCGGGCGATTGCCTTTGTCGTTGATGTATTCGTGTTTGCATATCTCTATCGACGTATTGACATTGCCGCGACGAAAACGAGCAAGAAAACCTGTTTAACGTACAAATATTGAGCAGCTACTAGATTCCTCTTACGCCTAGTGTAACAGTTGTGACGCATGAATATTAATCGCAAAATTTGCCGTACATGTAAAAGCTCGTTTCACGACAACTTATATATACATATATTCATCGTACTATAATTATTGTTATTTATTCTCGACTCGAAAAAAGATACATGGATGTTTTAATTTTTATCGATTTTCTTTTCAACAGAAAATGATGTACCAGATTAAATTTTGTTCGATGTATGGAAATTTCTGGTGATTCCTCCTTGGTTTCGAATGCGAAGTAAATTTTATTGGTTGTGGGAAGACATATTTCAAAAGGACACCCGAGGCATAATTTTTGAAAGATAAGACTGCACGACTAAAAATAAATCGCATGGATGGTATCGAATGGCTGCACGTACAGTGCAGATAGTACGAAAAATTTACGATAGCCTACGGTACCAAGATTTTATTAAGATTGGCGCCTTGAGGAATGCAAGTTTAACGGATCGTCGTCATCCAGTCTTCTTCTTCTTCTTCTTCGTCTTCACCGCCCTCTTTCTCCTCGACAAGATCCTCTTCGATCCATTTGCTCGCACTTGCGTGTAAATACATGGTGATGCAAATCGTTTTACATCTCGGGCAAATCAACATTAGGCACAAAAATCATCACTTTGACAAATGAAATACATTTTACTATGAAGGTAAGGTTCTATTGGAAGTCGCATTTTTTATTATTATTATTTATTTGCCTTTATTAAAGTTATAATATTTATTTTTAAAAAACATAAATATAACACACAAATAGAAATATATTTTAGAGAAAAAGAAATTGCAAAATAACATCTTAATCACTGAAACTAATAACCAATTTTAAAAGACGCATTAATTAAAATTAAATTGGTAATCATTCAAACTAATAGAACACATCGTTTCTTGTACTTCCTGGCCACGAGTTCTATTGTAATGCGAGATATTCGAATATCGTAGATGGAGCATAAAGATGTTCAAACTTGAAGATCATCATCAAGGACGTCGAATGTTTTGAAATTTATTCGAATGTTTAATGGCTGAATAGTGAAAACTTTTCTCCAATTGCTTCACTTATCTTTTATTAACTAAGTATAATTTTCTATTTAATTATTACTTAAGGATTAAGTGTCTCAATGGCAAAAATGAATTTGAACATTTTCAATATTAGTATCAAAAAATCTTTCTATCGAATAGATTTATCCAGGAATTTCTAATAAATTTGATCTCTTGCGAACTCATAAAGGTGGGCGTGAACTTTTCAATAAAGCCAGTCTCGTTCGGATACTTGAACGCGTGTATCGGGATCAATGACACGCCCGCAGATTCCCTGAGGTATCCTCTACGGACTATGTAGAGGCATCCTGTAGAATTCCAACCACCTTCCTCGACTTCACAGCAGGACCTACTGGTTTCTATTTATATACTGTGCGAGACCTTGCAGCTTACAGCTTGCGCGCTTACGGACTCGGTTTCCAAACTGTGCAAATCCCTATCGCCACTCCATTATCCTTATAACAAATAATTATTTACCCTAATATTTTAATCTAATAGAGCTCATTAATCACCTTGAATTTATATTAATTAATATTAACCGTTTTGTTTTGTATAGAAAGTAATTCATATTCATAGCGATTAATGTAAATATATTAAATGTTCATTTAATAGCGAGAAGAAAATTCCTCAAAGAAGGATCTTCTAGGTTTTCGATGTTTCTCATGCGACTAATTAGAACTTGAGCAATACAGAAAAGTTGTATGCATTTAAGGAATTCTAGTAGAATATGTAAGTACCTATAATATAACAACTAAATTACGATAATGCATACAGTGCATTAATAATTGGTTTAGTTTTTATATGTGCAGTAATTTATAGCATTTTTGAGAATTGTTAATTATTAATGAGAAAAATAAAGAAAAGTTAAATATCAAGCTTTTATTTGAATTATATTAATATCTATTATAGTTTGTTCTTATAAAAATGAAATGAAAATATAAGCAGAGAAAATATGACCATATTTATAGTTTACAATAGTAAATAAATTTTTATTTGAAATTTAACAAATATAATGACGCCATCTATCGCATGGCTCGTTCACTATCAAGTGTATACATATTGAAGTGTTTTATTAAAACATTAATAGTAAAAAAATTTTTGAAGAAACTACAACAATATGGCTGTCAGAATATCGGAAATTTTTAACTCTTTTCAGGATTATTTAAACAATGAAGAGGAATTGCGTGAGGTATATATTAATAGTATGTCATCTAATCTTTAAATCATGTTACTAAGAAAATGTAAATGCTAAATAATTGCAATATTACTTTTAAAAAATGTTATTTCTACAAATTATTTCATAATTATTAATTTACAACATAATTAATTATTTTTACTAAATACACATTTATTCTCATGTTTATTCTATACATGTTCTAGGTTAAGATACATTGACACTATAACCTTACTATTGTAAATTTTTTAAAGTAGTGCATTGTAATATTAATTAAAGACATGCTATATACAAAAAAATATACTAAAATGTTTTTTTGTGTCAAAGGAAATCCGTGCTATTGTAAGAAATCTTGAAAAGAGTGCCAGAGACATTTTGATGATATTACAAAACATACATAATGAAAATAACATGGAAGAAAACATAAGTATGTGTCAATAATTCAATAGATTATAAAAGTACCAATGTAGTTATTATCTTTTTTTCATTTACAGTAGTATCTCAGTATTGTGTAACATCAAGAGAATTATTTATAGATGTACGTAAAAATTATGCAAAATTGGCAGAAGTTGTACCGCAAGATCAATATTACAGATTTCATGAACAATGGCGTTTTGTCACGCAAAAATTATGTTTTTTAGCTTCTTTAATAATATATTTAGAAATTAAAGTTTTGGTTACTAAAGAAACTGTTGCAGAAATATTAGGAGGTATGTAACTGTTTGAAAAGAATGAGGTTTGAAAAAAGAACTTTTTTCATTTATTCATGCCTAATATATTTTGGTATTGTATGTGTAGTTAAAAATAATAGAGAAGATGGTTTTCATTTGGATTTAGAAGACTACTTAATGGGTTTATTACAATTGTCTGCAGAACTAGTAAGCATACTGTATGATACATTTACTCAGTTTAATACTACACTTACTTATCTAAATATTATATTTCAGAGTCGTTTTGCTATAAATAGCGTTACCAATGGTGATTATAATCGACCTATAGAAATAGCACGATTTGTAAATGATTTGAATGCAGGCTTTAGACTTTTAAATTTGAAAAATGATTCTCTAAGGAAACGTTTTGATGGCTTAAAATATGCTGTTAAAAAAGTGGAAGAAGTAGTTTATGATCTTAGTATACGGGGTTTAAAACCATCTCCAGATTCATTTACTGAAAAAGGAGAATAATTATTTTTAAAAAATAATAATTTTATATAAGTAATATATATCATCACGTATAATAAATTATTGAAGCAATTATTTTCATATTTATAAATTATAACAACTATAAAAATATTACATTTTGATTTTATATCAAAATATTTGATACAAATATTTTATATAATTGAATTATTTGAATATTTAACTCTTTGCACAATTAAATATCAAATAAAATTGAAAGAATCAATTTGACGCACTTGTTGTTTGTGCATAAGTATCAACAATAAATGCACGTGTCGGCCATTTCGTCCGATTATTACGAGCTAGACGCTTAAGAAATTAATAGCCTTCTTCTAAATTTGCTATATTTAGCAATTTTTCACCTTTAATATATCTTTGATAATTTTGAACGAAATAATCTGCAATATCTCGTGCACGGCTTACACCTGAAATATGTGGTGTAATCGTAACCTAAATAAAAAAATTTCTATTATTAATTAGACAGAACTGGGTTTGATTTTAATTAATATTAATGCTCATGCATTAAATTACCTGTGGTAATGACCACAATTTACTTTTTCCAGACAATGGTTCTTCTGCAAACACATCTAAAATTGCTCCCAAGATCCATTGTTGCTCAAGTGCATTTAATAAATCTGTCTCTTTAATGATAGTACCTCGACCTATATTGATAAAAATACTACCACGATTTTTACAATTTTCTAATATATTTCCATTTAATAAACCTAAAGTACTAGGTGTAGATGGTAAGACATTAATAATATAATCACAGTTTGTTAGTACTTCAGGCAAATGTTCAATTGTTCTATGTTCGTCAATATAATTTAAGCTCTCCTTAAGTGGTGTTCTTGTCATTCCCCATACGGTGGCACCAAACATTTTTATTTTTTCTGCAACTTTAAAAATGATAAATATATTTTTATAAAGTCAAACTAGTATTCACTTGTAATGGTAGTAATAACATACAAAGAATTCACAATATAATTACTTGTTTTTCCAATATTTCCTAATCCTAGAATAGCCACAGATAAGTCAGAAATAAGTTTGTAATCAGAAATATTTCCATCTGTTATCCATTCTTTGTTTTCTTGATTTTGATATTGCTGTCTTTGATTACGTTCAAAATTAAAAATGTGCGCTATTGTATATTCAGACATAGCTAAAGCAAGACTCTTGTCTGAGAAACGTGTAAGTGTATAATTAATTTTTTTATCTCTCAGATTTGAAATTAGCGATTCGATACCGGCCCATGTTGTTTGTACCCATTTTACAGATGGCAATTTATCTGTATATGGCAAAAACAAATCACAATCAGTTACCACTATATCTGCATCTTGTAATTTTGATAATGTATCACATTTATCTGAAAAAAAGAAAAATAATTTTCTCAATAATAAATGATATTTACATTATATAATGAAATTGATTTATATAAGAATGATGAACAGAAAAATGTCGTTTCTAAATTTATACGAATCGTAAAATATATTTGAAGAATGTATTGAAAATTTAAATTTGGTGGGTTTTCCGCCAATGTCTAAAACCCAAATGCGCAAATACAGTGCTCAGCAAATCGTAATAATAGTGCGTTTTAACACGTGCTTGCTGCGAAACACCTTTCGAGCTGAGGAAATTCGAGCTTTATGAATATGAGAAGTGTATGTCAAAAGTAATACCTGGCAAAACGTCAAATATTGTTGAATTTGGAAGTTTCATTCGAAGATGGTAAGATAACCTCGGAATCACGGAAAGAATTGCAATACTCTGCGCCATGTCGCAGAAATACGATTACGCGGGAATATGATTTAACTTCAACTCTTTTAATTAAATAGAATGTTCAGCCTCCGTTATAACTGATTTCCAATTACTACGATTAATACCACAGCATTAGACTTGTTGCTTTAATGTGTTGTATCAAGGCATCTAACCTAATTTTTTGTTCAAATGGAAAAGAATTGTTCAGTATTAATGCTTTTTTCGTTTTATCTTTTTTCATTAGTTTTCATGATTTAATAGTATCATTGTTTTATTAAGTTTTTTTAGTTTGTTCTTTATTTTAATATCTAAATATATTGTCTTAAGAAGTTTTAATGGTTGGAATGTTTTTTTGTGTTATTAAAGATTGAAATGCATTCAAAAGATATTTAATTGAACTAAAACATTAATTTTAATATCAAAATTGTAAGGAAAAAACAACAACGTCATTTAATTAATAAAAAATCAATTCTAAACTGATTTCCGATTCTTGCACTCTGTGAGAAATTTAAAATACCTTCAAATGTGTAACGCGTGCGCAAATTAAGGACATTTAAAATATGAAATACAAGTGTATGTGAAAATTATAATAGTAATAGAGACTTGTAATTAAGTTCTATTATTACTTATTCTTGTAATTAAGTTCTATTATTACTTATTCTTCTAACTATACTATCAAGTATGATACGTTAATCTCGCAATTATTAAATTTTTTTACAAAACTTAACGGGATGGAAAAATATTAACCTAAGGATTGTTAAAAGCTACATATTTTAACCTGTAAACCTATAACTTAATATGTATTCATTTCCAATTTTTAACGAGAAGGTTAAAAGATCTTTTATTTGTTTGCATAGAAGGTACAGTGATAGGTTAAGAAAGCCTCAAAAAATTTCTACGCTATCGGATATCTGTCATGTAGCATACATTTGAAAAAATTATCAGTATATGTACAATACGTTCAGTTCGAACGTTTAGACTGAAATATATGTAAAAAATTGGATTAATTTCCGACGAACAATAGGTAGTGTGAACGAGGCTTGTAACGAAGAAATCCGCGAAGCATCCAATAAACGCTCGCGAGTTGACCGGTGGCGGTAGTAAGCCGATTCCCGCGCGGCGCACGTCGCATCGCGGAACTGCTCGAGCTGAACGTGTTAAATGGCTGTGCGTCGGCCATGATGGCTTTGAGCAGGGACCGTGTCACGCAAACATGTTTTCGAAGTGATATATCTCGTTTGGTGACTGAGTGACCGTGTTCCAGCGCGATGGCCGGAGAACGATGAGGCCCTGAGCGCTCTCTGTGCCGGGTATTACGGCCGCAGGGCCCCTAACCAGGCCCAGTCAGGTTCACGTTCCTTAAGTCCGAGGCCCGAGCCGACCCGACTGGCCTCACGGTTCGACACCAGCCAACTCGGTTGTCAACACGCGAGCCAGCCGCCTCAGGATGAGCAAGCTGTCGTTCAGGGCCCGTGCCCTGGACGCTTCCAAGCCCATGCCGATTTATATGGCTGAGGAACTGCCGGATCTGCCAGATTACTCGGCCATTAATCGTGCTGTGCCCCAAATGCCCAGCGGCATGGAAAAGGAGGAGGAATGTGTAAGTCGAACGTTCAGCCTTCTTCCAGCATGTTTTCCCTGTCCGCCATCTTACTTTCAGCCACGTCTTCGTAAACAACCGGCAGATGGCATCCCGTTTACGATTATTATGCTCAGAAATTCTTTATTTTTTATTGTTAAACATAATTAACTACGATATTTTATACGTTATTATTGTTCTCCGCACTTTTGCACACCTTGTTGTATCATTATTGACAGCTGTCAGTCTTGTATATCAAAGTAATCATGAAATTGAAATGGATGTTTCAACGTTGCTGTTTTAACGTATGAGAAATTTTCATGTTAAAATTTTTTCAATCGTTCTATCTTTTGTAGCATGTTTCTTTACAATGTAATTCTTAATAATTGTTTCTTTTTGTTCTTCTTTTTATTCTAAAAATGTATAAACAATAAACAATCAATGGCACAGCATAGTTGTCATTATGTATAGCGATGGCATTTCATTGAAACAATGTTAATAACATATATTTATTGATATATGTAGCGCTATTTTCATATTATTTATGTACTTTAAAGATGTCATTTCCATAATTTTCTGTTTTATTCCTATTTTATCAATAAAAATATCAATATTTGATATGTTTGATATTTGACTTGATCTTAGTTAAAACATTTTCTAGATATTATATTACAAATATACTATCAATAATGTAATATCTCGATTTTAATATAATTCTCGAGTAGCATATGAAGAAGCAAGAAGAGAATCTCTTATTTCTTATAATAACATATGAAAAACTAAAAATTTAAATAATTTCATATTTTATAAAGTCTCGTATTGATTGTAATAAATATTTATCTAGGAACATCACTTGCAAAGAGCAATATGCACGGGTCTAATCATTCCTACCCCTGAAGTAACCGATTTAACAGATGTGGAAGCTTATGACAAGATTTATCCAGCTGACTATAAGCTACCTCGTCAACTTATACACATGCAACGTAAGAGAACATGACAATCTTTAACAATCAATATTGTTCTTTACATAACAGATTTAATAATTATATGCCTTTTTTTTGAAGCTTTTGCAATGGAACAAGATATTCCAGACTATGATATGGATTCAGAAGATGAAAAATGGGTTGCAATACAAAGTCGTAAAATGGACCTGACTCCTCTTCAATTTGAAGAAATGATGGATCGCTTGGAAAAAAGTTCAGGACAAACTGTAGTCACTCTCAATGAAGCTAAAGCACTTCTTAAAGAAGATGATGATTTAATTATTGCTGTGTTTGATTACTGGTTAAATAAACGTCTTAAAACAGTAAGTTTTTATACATTATAGTTTTTTTATACGTTTGTTATATATTACAATTACAATGATATATATAGTACAATTGTTGATAAAATTTTATTAACATTACTATATATTTTTTCTGTCTCAGCAACATCCTCTTCTATTAACGGTAAAAACAGAACATCGGTTTGGTTCAGCTGCCAATAATCCTTATTTAGCGTTTAGACGTAGGACGGAAAAAATGCAAACACGTAAAAATCGTAAAAATGACGAAACTAGTTACGAAAAAATGTTGAAACTCCGTAGGGATCTTAGTAGAGCAGTTACTCTTCTCGAAATGGTTAAAAGAAGAGAAAAAACTAAGCGAGAACATTTACATCTTACGATTGAAGTATATGAAAAAAGGTGTGAACATGATCTCCCAAACTTTTTATATTTTCATCTCTATGTAATTAGCTTTCGAACTTTATAGTGTGTAACTGGTAATACAACAGCATAGGGGATGATTTTACGTGAAAAAATAGATCAAAAAGAAAAAATATATTTTTTTCATTTGAAGCTTCGTTTTCGAGAAAATTTATCAAGTATACTCTTGAATTTGGCTACATCTAAAAATCAGTAAAAAATATAGAATAAAATTTAAGGTCTTCCTTTCAAGAAAATAAAATTTGAACAATTATTAAGAATTGGCTTAATATTTGGGTATTCAATACATTTTCAAATTTAACTTTCTCAGAAACGAAGCGTCTTATAAAAAAATTGTATTCTACACTTTTGACTTGTTTTTGCATAATCTCGTTTCGATTATTCACTCTTGTCTAGTTCAGAATTAGCCAAATTCAACTATATTTGAAAGATTTCCAAGTTTGTTTTTCTCGAAAACGAAGCGTTAAATTAAAAAAATTTTATTCTTTCTTTTTGACTTATCTTTTTACGTAGAATCATCTGTAAACAATTGTGCTAATTGTGCTAAAACTAATTACGGGACAGCCTGTATAATTAAAAAACTGCACAGGTATCAGGCACAAGACTTTAATGGACAAATATTGGCAGAAGTATCAGCGTTAAAAACACCGAGACCTGCTTTCGCGCCACTATTTACAAATCAGTTTGGTGTTCATCAAAACTGGGCAAATAAAGTTTGTAGTAAAGTAAGTATTTTTTCATACTATTTTCATACTGTTCTGATAATAAGATACAAATTTTACTAATGATGATATATTATTGTTTTTTTCAGGACGATGTGGTACCCAAGAAAGAAAAAAGACAATACAAGAAACGAAAACATAAAACTGATAGCAGGGGAGGGAGTTTGGAAGATAATGGTGTACGGGCTGGAACAGGTAGCGGAGGTAGTCGAGGAAATCGGCCTGGTGTGCTTGGAGGCGGGCTGGACCCGTTACTAAGTTCAGACGAAGATAGCTCACTTCCATCTCATTCACATCCCCAACCCTCTGTTCCATCGGATCGCGATGACGAAGACACCACTGATGAGGGTCAATTCACTTTCCGACGAAATAGAAATAGCACTTATCTACCAGTAAGTGCTGTTGAGTTCTCACATGTTTTTATTTTCTATGTACGATTTCTGATAGAAACAGATGTAAACCGAGTAGCATGTGGATTTGAAACAGGACTGTTGTTTAATTTTGCACAAGCTGTTGTTAATCATGGGTGTCAATGAAAATTATCACGAATCATTTTGTGAAAATAGTGTTAGTGTTAAAGTGTTAGTGTTAGTGTTAGTGTTAAAGTTCTTTTTTTCAGGATTGTAGATATAGAGCTTTTCTCTTTGCAGCCTGTATCAGGTGGATTTGGAAATTGGCCTTGGTGTGATAAAAGCGAAGGGGGCTTGGCTGATAAGAAGTATAGGTTTGCACTGACTAGCATCAGCAAGCCAGTACCAAGATGTATTGGTTTTGCACGACGACGAATTGGTCGAGGTGGCAGGTATGATATAACATTTATAAAAAGACTACGTAAAAATGATGTCTCGTATATCATTTAATGTTATATCCAAATTCAGAGTAATATTGGACCGCTGTTCGACCGATATGGATGATATGTGGTCTTCTCTAGACTTCACGATACATCAACCAAAACGGGAACCAGTGGAGTCTGATACAACTGCCGCGTCAATAACTCCTATCAAAAAGGAGTGGTATGTTGGCTAACAATGCAGAATTTCAATTTTACAGTACAACAAATTGATTTATTAATTTATTTGTAACACAGGTTACACTTTCGACCAAAGACTCCACCTCTGTCAGTGCATAGTCCAAGTGAAGAAAGTAGTGATACGGACTCAGATATAGAGCCAACATTGATTCCATCGAAACCGCTTCCATACCCGTTCCCACCTGAAGCAACATCTATCTGTGTGGAAGTAGAGCCTGAACGAGTGGGGGATGAACCACCTTTTACATCAGAATTCAATATCGCTGATTATTTCTCGGATACTCTGTCGGACTTTGATCTTGCCGTGGCGAGTATCACTGGTAGTGCGTGTGTTAGTGGACTATCGGATAATAACTCTGATGATACACGGACAAACGAACTGGGCAGTTCACATTTTGTTGTGAAGTCGCTACCTAGCAGTCTTTTTGCACAGCCTGTAACACAACAGAGTCGGCCTCAGTGCAGTGGTAGTGGTTTTAGTGTTGTAAATACTTCTGCAAGCTCTACAATCCCGTCGTCTTTCTCGTGTATAACCAACCAACCCACAACGTCGAGTGTAGTATCTACGCAATGTGCTGCTACTGAAACACAGTCTAGACAGCAACAACACAGACAATTACCAAACAACAGCAGTCCTGTTTCCATTCTGTCTAAGTCCTTGACTAGTCCAACGAATAATAGGAATGGCGGCAGCTGTGGCAGTGGTAGTGCTGGAGTCAGAGTGTTTAGTGCAAGTACCACAACTAGTGGAACAATTACAAACTTTGGCAATGGGCATCAAAATGGCCCATTGCCTCATATAAATAACTCTAATAATCTTTCAAATAGCACTCACGTCGTGAATAATCAGTCAACGATAGTTCTGCCACAAAAACATCCGCCGTCCAATCTGCTACCTGGCTTGATCGCACAGAGCAAATTGGCGAGTCTTGCAAGGCAGCAACAACAGACGCAAAGTCAGGCGCAACAAATCCCAACGTCCGGGGAAATTACGCTTAATAGTAATAGGTGAGTTTTGGTATATCCTTAATTTATTATCTAGGAATCTAGTTTCATAGACTATTTTCTTGTATTTATTATCAATGATTCCGTAATTGATTATAGTGAAAATTTGGATATGAAAGTGGATGGAGTGGAAAATGCGACTTGCGATGGTAAACCGCAGCAGCAACAGCTTGTACGGGCAAATAAAACAAATTCATTAGCGATGGAAGTGACATGATGCCTGCTATTGGCACCCCTGTTACCGCCAATACGTCACTGGGGGCTCCGCTAACTTTACCTTGCCTATGTCTGTCTACCTTTTGGAGACTGAACATATACTGCGTGCTCGTTAATATGAAAAACGGTACGGCTAGATTCGATTGCAGAAATACTCTGATCAGTTGCCTTTTACGGCGATGACGGAATAGTGTCGATTCCATTGCAAGTACTAAATTGTTTCAAAAATATTTAGACTATAATTCATTTTTCTAAGTCGTTTGTTTCCTTGCTAATTGAACAATCACGATTACTCGACGCAATCACAGTGTTTCATTAAAACTTTATAAGAAATATTTCATTTATTTTTGGTATATTAAATTTAGTATTAATTTCAGTTGTTATGTTTTTTCAATTCTTGATATAAATATTTCAGAGAGATGTTTATGGATATAATATTAAAATAACGTAATATACATATTTTCTGTTTTTTAAAATAAGAAATAGTTTTGTTCAACGCAAGGGAACTTTTATATTTGACAAATTGTAATTTCATTTTTATTGAAAACTTGGCAGAACTCCTTTCTCATTTTTTTACTCATATGTAAAAAATGATACTGTTGGAACATGTTTAATCAAATTATTAAAATCATACTACAAGCCTTCTCAAACACAGCATTAATTATTTTTATTATAAAAATATAATGATTTACGTTTAAGTATTTCTTCTTTTAGAAAGTTTTGAAATATTCGTTCGGTTTTCATATTTCTAAGATAAATTTAAAAGAAGATAATAATTATGACTAATATATCATAATATTGTAAAAATTTAATTTTAAATTATATTATTTTGCAACATAAAATCTGAATTTTTGGCAAATAGTATTTCTGTGTATACATTGTGGCTGTAAATTTTATTTAAATGATATGTACTAAAAATAGAATAGACCTCTTATGAAAAATGTATAGTAAACTTTATAAATGTTCTTAATACATATTGTCTATTTCAATCCTTAATGAACTCAAATTAGTTTAACTTATTGTGGATTTTTATGTTTGTTTCAATACTGTATAGAAATTCAGTTAATATGTAAGAAAATATTCAACTTTCTTTATAAAATACATAGTAGTACATTAAAAGGCTTTCAGGCTGTGAAATAATAAACCTATTAACAGTAATAATATTTAAATTGTAATAAAAAAGATTCTGATTGTTTTATGGCTGAGAAATATTTCTATTTTAATAACACATTTTGAATTAACTATAATTCAGTGAAATTATAATATATAAATATAAATCTTGATGTTGCGTTTGAGAAGCTTGTATCACGAAAATTTATATTACAAACTGACTAGTTCATGACATTATGGTTAGGGTTCATAATATTTACCAGGAACATGTAAGAATTTTTGTCTTTCAATTTAATAATTGCAAGCTGTGAGAATAACCATTAATGAATTTATTTGCCATACAAAATATGAAAGAATCTATCTTTTCTTCATAATGATGTATTAAATTTATGAATTAGCTACAAAGTAAATTGATTATTCATTTCATGCAAATAATTGGCATATGCCTGAAATAGCGTACTATTAACTTTTTAAATATTTTATAGCAAGATTTAAGTAACAGTATTTGGGAAAAATGGGTATATCTTATATGTGTATATTCATACCAGTAGAATTCTTTACAAAAAAAAAAAAAATAAATAAATAAATAAACATATTACATAAATATTATAATAATAGCTAAGTCTATGTTTAAGCTTCAAGTAAATGATTATAAACTCCCTGCTTAAATCAAACATATAACATCGTATCAATGGGTCATCATAAAAAGATTTAGTTATTTATCCATCTATATTTTATTGTAAACAGTTTTTGGAATCTACTGGTATAACTATGTGAAAATTGAGATTAAGGTATTTTGACACTTGCTCGTATATAATCCATATACTTTGTTACGTAATTTTGCAGATAAAAAGAAGAGTTTAATTACCACTAAATAAAACCTACATGAAATAGTTATTGAATCTGTGCACATTTTTATGTGCACTATTCTCTTCCTCTTAGTCTTTCTGCATTGTCTCCCATTCCATGTAACTATGTATTCAGATATTACATTAAAATATAAGCATTCAACAAAAAATAAGTTAGCAAAAAAATTGACAATATCAAGAGTCTAAGATGTTTTTATTTAAAAATTGATAATATGAAATAAGCATTTGTTTTATCTGACAAAAAAAGATTTTTAGTATAAATACACATTTCATATTTCTGTGTGGCTAATAGGAAGGATACTACCTATAAAAATGACACATTAACTGTATAATACATTAAATATATGAGTTTTAAATTGACGAAATTCAAGAGTATCTGTCACATAATTTTTATTATTATTTAAAGAAAGTTTCATCCACATACGCAACGTTTATTGATTAAATTTGTAGGCACTGATCAAGATAAATATCCTAGCCACTTGGACTGAAGATTTATAATTTAGGTGTATTACAAATGGCCATGGCAAAGTGTTTCAAATAGTCATTTATTTTCCAGACTTGAAACAGAGAAATTTTTTCCAAATATGCAATAAAAAAGTTCTTTCGCGAGCCGTAATACGAGATCAAGAGAGAAATATAATGGTGCAAATATTGCAAATTCTAGAGACTTCATGAAATCATAATAAGAAACAAACAAAAAGGATATATTGTACATATAAAAATAATTACGCTTATTGTATCTCTTACTTTTAGGTAATTAACTAAAAAATAACTGTAATTAATGTTGTTGTGGTAGGCGCACAGCGATGTGTACGAAAATTTATGAATTCGGGACGATTTTAGAGGAGGAGTAATAAAGAAATTTTATCCTGGATAGGACTTATTATTTTGTTAAGAATTTCACTCGCCTGTATATTATATAACATTTTGTGAAATCTAATTTCTGCCACATTTGTATATACTTTAGGTATCTGATTATTTTTCTCGTTTTTCTCAAACTCATCATTGAACGTGAAGTGCTTTTACATTCTTTTAATCACATATATTCGCAAACATCCAATTAAATTTTATTCTATGTCTTTTACATTATTTTGTTTCCTTTCTCACATTTATGTCTTATGTTGTTTTGCAAAATTCAGGCACAAAATGAAGAAAATGTCTTCCGTCATATGATTTTGAGAAAGACGAGAAATTATGCGGAAAAATATTTCCAAAAATGTACTTGTAAAAATCATTTGTTTATTTTAGTTGGAACGCTTTAAACGAAATATAGTGGTACATGGATTTTTATATAAAATTTATTAATGTTAAAAATATTGACCCAATAGCCATTTTACAAATGAAACGTCGAAAATCTTCAAAGTTTGATCGCTCCAACCAAAGACTGAGTTCGCTTTACATTTTCTGATTTGGCAAATACGAAGTTCCACGAGACCGATATCTCAATGTTTTTTAAATAATTCATCATAAATATACTCAGAGAGAAATATGATAATTTAGATATCACTTAGTAATACTTATCAAACGTTTTATTATTCAAAGAAATTTTTGTCGAATAATTTATATAATTAATCGATAAGATTCAAAAGAAACAATTCGGTCAAAATCAACCGTGAAACTTCGTGTTTACCTAATTTGTTGCATTCGCGGAAAACAATACTGTACCATGTAAGTAGGACTAAGCCGAATCAATGCAACTATTTAGAGCGATCGAACAAGACCGATAATCGTTTCGTGTGAAAAAAAAAAAAAAAAAAAAAAAAAGAAAAACAAATCATTAAGAGAAGGAATGAGCTTACAAATATAATGTTCAACGTGAAGCTCTTAAAAAAGTTCTGAATGTTAAAAAACTTTTACGATAATATCGACAGGTGTCGAAATGCGGTGTATCTATTATACGTGTATTTTATTCTGTGAATACAGTAGGACTTCTATGTCGCTGTGCGACAGGAAGATTTAATTGGAAAAAACGCTCCAACCAAAGCTCCAGTTTGAACGAAAGTTTGACGAGAGTATAGAGAATTCTTCTCAAGATTGTATAGTCGGAGAACTTAAGGGGAAGATCAAATTCTATATATGTATGTAGAATGTTTGGTCTAAACAACCCTTTAATTTGTTCTTCGACATACATCAGCTACTCTCTCGTCCCCTGATAACACCTTTCACTGAGTGCATGTATCAAATTTAATTTGATCCAAATAAAATATCATCAGATATAAATTAAGGCGTGAATTATATTTATTGCTTATAAACCGTCGAGGTCTAACAAATAAAAATTACATTCCTAAATTTATTTAGCCTCTTTCTCTCTATCTGTCTCTTTCTATTTTTCTCTGTAATTCTGATATGCTTACAATTTTGTAGTATATGCTTTTTGTGTATGCTAACAATAAACTGAGAATTCTTTTACGACGGAAAGCGAAAAATATTTTGAATGAAATTACAAAAACTGTTCATATACTTATTTATCTTTTCATATCTTCAGAAAAGTAGAGATGTTATCAGGTAGATGAGTTATTTTTTATGAATCACATATAAAAATTTAAATTCAATTATTGTTTAGCATTAATGTCTATAATAAATGTGATTAACATTTGAATCTATTAGCTAATATAACTAATTGAATATGTATATGTGTATATACATTAGTGTAATGTATATATGTATGTGTATATATATATATACATTGCAATTTGACTATTAAGTGTATTCTAATTATATAATTTCAACAAATTGGCAAAATTATGGACAAATTAATTACATCATTTAAATTAAAAAAAGAAAATGGAAAAAGAAAGAAATAGTTGTGAGGCTAAAATATATGTATGTATGCGACATCTTCTATATTATTCATTTTAATAGATTAAAATTTATATTTTATTTCATTTAACTATTGTATTTATATTACAATGAATATTTTACGCATTACACGACAAAAAAGTATTTGTTATGCTAACTTAAAACATAGTAGATTTATTTTCCAAACTGTAGGTAAAAAAGTAACAAAGAGCAGTATACAGTTGCATTTCATTCATAATATTAACGAAAGATTTATGATCGTAACGAACATAAATTTGACAAAATTTGAAGAGGCAAATATTTCAAAATAAATTCTGATTATATTGTGTGAAAAATAAATTTCTTTAGGATATTTGATCTCTTCGCTGGGAATAGTTGTAAAATAAAATTCATTTACAACAATGTTTTGTGTATATAATCCTTGCTTGAAGAACTTGAAGGAAATAGTTAGATAGGTTACATTTTCTTTGCATATTTCTAAAAATGTATGTTGCATAGGTTTATTTCTTTTATCAATATCACATTTATATTATTTACGATTATTCTTTTTAGAACTTATTATATTTCAAATGTGAAATTTTTTTATTTCTATTTATAATTTATGTTTTTGCAATTTTCAAATTCGTTTTTCATCACTGAAGGTTATACGCCAGGATTCAGGACACTAATAAAAATGCTTGTAAATATGAACATTGTTTAATTTATTTATAAAGTTTTTATTATTATATCGATATTAGTAAAATATACAAAAATTATAAATTAAATCTGTTTCTTATTAGAGGCATTTTGGTTTATAGAATTTTGTATTTAAATATTTGTAACTCTGATTAAGTGAACTTATTGCTGTACTTGATACTTCATTAATACTATAAATTATACAATTATGTTTAATATAAGCATTAAATTTAAAAAGAATCAAGTAGGAAATTCCTTTTAATGATGAAATTATACATGTGTATTTATACATAAACAATATGGATAAGTATGACGAAAAACATTGATGCTTTATTAATATAAGACTTGGTCATGTTAGTAAGTTTTTTTTAGTAATATATGTTACACATAATAATTAATATATGATACACACGTTCATGTATATGTACACGTTTTACATAAATTTTTGTATGTGACACATATGATATTTATATTCATAAAAACAAATAATTTAATTTTCTAGCGCAATGCTGTTCATGAATGGGACTTTACTTGGATTCGAGGTTTTCTATGTATTATAATATATAAAAGTAGAATTTAGAAAGAAGACAGCATCATTTCTCATTCACTTTTATGTTAAGCATGCACCGTGTGGATCTCTCCTAGGATAGATGCCGGAACTAATTTATATTGTTGTCCTTTTCGCACACTATCATTTTCCTTGCCTACGGCGCGAATATGTTTGTCCTTCTCGTACGCTGTTGCTCTCCTTGTTTAATGTGTGTCTGTCCTTGTGTCTGTCTTTGTCGCACACTGTTGCTCTCCTTTTCTATAACGCGTATATATCTGTCCTTGTCCCACGCTATCGCCTTCCTTGTCTGCCGCACGAATATGTCTGTCCTTGTCACACGCTAGTGCTCTCCTTGTCTAATGACGCTAGACAAGGAAAGCAATAATGTGCGACAAGAACATCCTTCGATCTATTGAAAAAAAATTCAACTTTTTACACAAACGTTTTTCTAGGACAAAACACACATAGAAAGAAAGTAGAGAGCCTAATTTTAAGGAGGCATATAAAAAAGTTCGAAAATTATTCCTCTTAATTAGGTTGTTCTCGTAATTAGTGCGAGCTGTCACAATATGGACATGGTGGCGCCGTCTATTGATAACTCGGTGGTACTAAAAACAGAATTTTCGACTTTTAGTACCACCGAGTTACCAATAGATGGCGCCACCATGTCTATATTGTAACAGCTCGCACTAATTACGAGAAAAATCTAATTAAGAGGAATAATTTTCGAATTTTTTTATATGCCTCCTTAAAATTAGGCTCTCCACTTTCTTTCTGTGTGTGTTTTGTCTTAGAAAAACATGTGTGTAAAAAGTTGAATTTATTTTTCAATAGATCGAAGGATGTCCTTGTCGCACATTATTGCTTTTCTTGTCTAGCGTCATTAGACAAGGAGGGCACTAGCGTGCGACAAGGACAGATATATCTGTGCGGTAGACAAGGAGAGCAGCAATATGCGACAAGGACAAACATATAGGCGCGGTAGAAAAAGAGAGCAACAGTGTGCGACAAGGACAGACACGTACGCATTAGACAAGGAGAGCAACATCGTACAAGAAGGACAGACATATTCGCGCCCTAGGCAAGAAGAGTGATAGTGTGCGAAAAGGACAACAATATAAAAAAATTAGTAAAAATTAGTATAATAAATTAGTTCCACCGTTTCACTGCTTCGCGACGCTAGTATTTTAAAAGTGAAAATGTGTGGAAATAGAAAAGCTTATCAGAAGACTGCTATTATTCAGAACATGGAACATGTGTTTTTTGTAACTTATAATCATGCCTTTTTATTATAATACGATGTTCGAAAGAAATCTTGTGGGACAAAAGGTAAGAGAAGTACTATTTATTGTCACATGTTGCTACATGAATTCATTTTCGAGTAACATGTATGTTAATCTTTATAATTTTATTAGGACTATAAGAAATAACCTATTGGACCTGCATTTCATCTAGGGACCTACCTTGTTTCGAGGATGATATGAAAGGGTTGATATGATATGAATGTGTCATAAAAGAGTGATAATACAAGGTTGATATGATATGAATGTGTCATAAAAGAGTGATAATACGAGTTTAATTTTTTTCTATTTTATTGTTCAAAGAAATTAATACATATATATTTAAAACAAAGATATTTATTAATGTTGTATCAATGAGGTATTTAGTTATTTATTAAAGTTAATTTTTTGATATCATACTGTGTTTTTATGTATGGTGAAAAGTCAATCTTTAGTAATTAACTTGAACAATAATATTTTAAAGAATATTTTAAAGAATTTTATTGTGAAAAAAATATAAAATAATGTCACAACAAACACGCATTGATCAATTTTACAAATTAAACCATAAAAAACTTTTTAGATCAAGAAGTGAGCCTTATTCAAAGGTTAGTTGATATTTTCTCACTTTTTTTTTAATTATATCATTTAATTTCAATATCGTGTCAAATTTTTTAAATATATTTATGTAAGGTATATTGAATTAGTTTTTTTATTTTTGTAGAAAAAGAAAGGAGGAAATGAAAAGCAAAATGTTTCAGTGTCAGAAATTAAAAGTGAATTGGATTGTATGATATACGACAATCAGAATGGTAATTTAAATAATACAGAAACGATTAAAAGTAATGTTCAAGCATTGAATCAGAATGAATCAAATGATTATTCCAAACAAATGTTGATGTATGATGACAACAAAAAATCCAATTTATCAATGGATCAAGGAATAAGTGAAACATCAACTGAAAATGAAGACTGCTTGATAATATTACATGAAAAGTTAAATTATCCAAAAAATTCAGAAGTATCACCAGACAATATTAACATGCAATCACAAAAAATGTCAAAAAGTAAATCAAAAAGCAATAGTCACAGAATATCACCTATTATTGAAGACAATTCTTATTTAAAGAGAACTCCAAATAAGAAATTAAGAACCCCAGATAAAAATAAGTCTCCATTGAGAAATTCTAGTAGTTCTTCTTCGACACCTGAGAAATCAAATTATACTTCCACTGGTACTCCCAGTAAATCTCCAAGAACTATTGCAATGAAAAAACTTTTTGGTGAATATATAGATACTGACATTATTACTCAAGCTATTGAAAATATGAATTTAGCAACGCAAGGTGCTTTTCCATGTAACTTTGATTTAGAAAAAATATATTCCAGAAATATATTTAAGTATCAGTATAATAATACAAATAGTAAGGGTGAAACAAAGTATAAATTAAGTGATATTGATATATGTAATGATTTAGATGCAAAAGTCTTATTTACTACTATCTTCAGTGTACTTTCTAATCCTATTAATTGTACTTATTTTGTAGAATATGAATTTGATTTCATATTTTCCATAATCACTCTTCCTAAAGAAGCTCAAATGTTATTGGCCAGAATGATAAAAAGGAAAAGAAAGTGGTTTAGGAAAAGCAAAATAAATTATCCACAAATAGCTGCAGAATTAAAAGATACTTTTGAAGTTCTTGTTTCACGATCTATTTGTTCTTTTGATATTAAAGAAGAAAACTTATATACAATACTTGAATTATTACAAGTAAATGAAATTCAGCAACTTTGTAAGAGAATGAATATTGGTTTTAAAGGAAACAAAGAAAGTAATATACAAAAGTTATTAGTACTGTCAAATAACAAACCTTTGTTCCCTGGAATAAAATCTCCAAAAAATAGTTTATATAATTTAATTTTGGATACATTAGATTTTTGTGTACGCATAACTGATAAGACTTGGAATATTATTGATTTAATAATAACATTATTAATGCCAAATCAAGATCCCAAAAATAGTCTGGCAGATACATTTCACATATTATATGATGTTTATTTAGGAAAAAGAATATATCCAAAAAATTTGAATGAAAATTATTTTCCAGTATTTTCTTCTGGATTCCATTTAAGAAGGTAAATCTATTTTTTAAAATTGGCAATAGATTTAAAAAATAAAAATAAATTTTTATAATTTTTATTGTATTTGTATTTGTAGTTATGTGGCAGATAAATCTTCATTATTTACGATGTTACAAAATATAGAGAAAAAAAATTGGGAAGAAGTACGAAAATATGGAAATTTAGCTATGAACAAGTTGCCAAATTTATTGAATCACGAGTTATTCAGGTAATTTAAATTCTGTCGTTATAATAAAAATAGTGTTCAATAATTTCAATTTCAATTTTTGCAGATTAAAAAATTCTGTACTTCCTAAGCATGTTAGACGTTTTATGTCAGGATATATATGGTTGAAAATACTTTCTAAATCTATAGATGCATTTAAAAAAGACAAAAATGAAAAGGACAATAAAAAACGAGTAGTAGAAATTTTATCATTTTTATTGGAGCAAAATTGTCATATGCATGTATACAAAGGAGAATGGTTTACTGAATTAGCCCTCATTGAAATGCATCATCATAAAAACATAGAAGCATCTGCATCCACTATAATAAAAGCTTTAAAAACAGAAAACTTAACACAAGTGGATAAAGTAAATCTTATGGAAAGAGCAAGCAAAATTGTAAAAAAGAAAAATGGAATCAAAATAACCACGAAACATTCTATTAATGAAATATTAGATAGTCATGCTCATTATATGCCAAAGTATGAAGCAGCATCTATCATTGTACATGCCATAGCAATGCCAAGGTAAATTTAATTACACATGTATTACTTTTTTTAATTTAAAATATAAAATGAAATTAAATTGTTTCAGCAATGCTGCAGGCAGTAAAAGTAGTTGGTGTATAGAAAGCAATGCTAAAAGTCAAAGTTATGGATCAGTAGAAGCTGTTGCACTTTATCATTATCAAAAGCAAGGATTCCCTAATGGATTGCATTGTGAAGGTGCATTACCAAATATTCTATTTTATACTTTGTTTTGGGAAGAATTATATGATATGCATGTTCCTGGAGCATTTTCAACGCCATATGAAGAAGCTCCAAATGATTTATTTACAACAGAATTTTATAAAAATCGGAAAGAAAGAATAGATATGAAACTGCAAATTTTTGATAATTTAAATTCTGAATCATTAAGTTCTTTGGTAGAAGAGAAATTCGCGTTACTTAGACAATATCAATCAATAATGTTATCAAATATAATAGAGGATAATTCACAATTGAAGGTGTGTATTTTATTGATTCTATTGCTTTATTATTCAATATATTATAAAACTTTATAATTCACAATGAAAGATTATTTATTTATAGCAAATAGTACATTGTTTGGGAACTCAGGGTGTAATAGGGATTTGTAAACGACTTATTGATAATTTCAAACTCTGGAGAGCTGGATTTCCAGATTTAATTGTATGGAATTATAATACCAAAGAAGTAAGTATTTATTTAATAAATAACATTAATTATAAAAGTGTTAAATATAGTTTTATAAATTTTCTTAGAAAGATATTTTTATAAAATACATTTTTTAAATATTTTTACAAGGTACATAATTATATACCTTGTATAATATCTTGTATAATATATATTGTATAATATATTTTTACAAAGTTTTTTTAATTATAAATAAAATCTTTTACCGAAGCATAAAATTATAGAAGTAAAGGGCCCTCGAGATGTCCTTTCAATCAAACAACGACTATGGTTGGAGTATCTACATCAACTCGAACTTAATACCGAAGTGTGCTTAGTACAAGGTAATATCCATTTGATTTTTGAGAATTAAGGTTCTAAAGCTTCTGTCACAGTAATAGTGCAGGGACCTTGAAAATGGTACCTTTAAATAATATATTAAATAATATAATTAAAATAATATATTATATTATTTTATTGCAGATAAAAATCATGCAAAGAGTCCGCGTAACAAATAGAAGTCTGATTAAATTTCATCAATGACAATACATTTTTTTACATACATTATTCTATTTTATATCAGCAGAAGTATTTTAAATAAGATATTGATATTTTTTTACACCATATTATATGTATGGGTATAATTTGTATTTTAACTTACTCAAAATGTCTCGTAGCAGGAGTTGTTTCTAAATTAAATTCAGCGACGGGAATTCCACGTTGTGCTACTTGCGGTGCAAACATTGCGGCTGGATATACTACAGATGAAGTACCAATAACCAAGCAAACGTCACAGTTTTCAACAGCAGTATCTAATATTTTAATAAAAAGATAAAAACGTTATTTTATTAAAAAAATATTTTATTTAAATGTTATATATATGTCAGTATTAAACTTTTAAATATATATTTACTTACAAAAATACTTACAAGCTTGCTCCAGTATATATTCATCTAGATTTTCACCAAACCATACAATGTGAGGTCTTAATAGACCTTTACAATTTTCTTTCTCACATTTAGGTAAATCTTCTCTTGGGATATCAGAGGTCATAATATTTGGATCTGGTAACCTATTTATATTTATATTAATAATGAAATTTATAAAAAGATATAAAAAAGGGCTTACCCTTTCCCCTCTAAAGCGGGACATAAGGGAATATTTTTATTTACAACAACTTCGTGACAAATTGTACAACGTGTTTTATACAATGAACCATGAAGCTCCACTACATCCTTAGCTCCTGCTCTTTGATGAAGTTCATCAATATTTTGTGTCACAATCACAACATTTTTACCCTCTTCTAAATAGCGATTTTGAAATGCTGCGATTGTTTCATGACCCTACAAACTCCATTTAAAGTACAAATAATTTTTAAAAGAGATGTACTAATTAGAAATCAAAAATGTAATTCTTAAAATACCTTATTAGGCTTAGCTTCGCTTGCCACTCTTCTACGATATTCGTAAAATTCCCAAACCAAAGAGGGGTTCGCTGCGAATGCTTCTGGAGTAGCGAGATTTTGAGCCTGATATTTTCTCCAAAAACCACCAGCACCTCTAAATGTTGGAATACCAGATTCCGCAGAAATTCCACTACCAGTTAATATCAACACGTTCTTCGCGTTTGCGAGTACTTGTCGAAACGTTTTCATTGTAGTATTCATAGTTCGTGAATGTAGTTCATTTAAGGTTATTTTCCCAAATAATGCGTGTAGCAGCTGATTCCTATGTACATTTCAATGATGTGACGTCGTTTCAGTATTCTTTCAATTCATCAATTTAAAAGTGTATAAATTTATACAAACTTCATATAATCTTATAATCTGGCAGACCTTTCTGGCGAAGGAGAATGAAAATTATAAATATAAAAAATCATAAATACGAAATTTTTTAATTGTTTGAAATTATATAACAGAAATGTTTCTCAGAAACTTTTTTAAAAGGAAACCTAAAGTACGTTTATTTCAAGAAAATAAGTTTTTTTTTTGCATACCATCAAATAGTTATTCAGTGTAACAATTTTTGTAGACAATACCACATAAAGTTGTCAATAGTTCTTTTGGAAATTATGAGATTATTATGCCATGGGAAGTTTCAGAAATTAGAGAAGTACCACCGTATATTCCTAAACCATCTTACAGTCAATCTTCAGTACCTCGTGATGGTCCAAAAAACCCTGAAATTAAAGATAAAAATCAAATACAAAGCATGAGAGATAGTTGTAGTTTTGCTAAAAAAATATTAACTCATATTAAACAATATATAAAGGTACATAAGATACAACAAACATGAAATTTACTACTAACAGTACCGTTTAACTTATAACTCTTATTTTAGTCTGGTTTGACTACAGATGAATTAGATGCAATAGTTCATGAAATGATTATAAGTAACGGGGCTTATCCTAGTCCACTTAATTATAAAGGATTTCCAAAATCAATATGCACTAGTATTAATAATGTTGCATGCCATGGAATTCCAGATAAAAGACCATTAGCAAAAGGAGATATATTAAACGTTGATGTCACAGTTAGTAGAAATAATATATAGTATTATAATGTGATGTATTACACATATGATCTTGCATTTATAAACATGAAAAACAAAAATAATATTTTATTTCTTTTTAGGTATATTTACAGGGTTATCATGGAGATTGTTCAAAAATGTTTGAAGTAGAAGAGTGCGATGACGAAGCGAAACGATTAATAAGTGTAACGGAATTGTGCTTAAAAAATGCTATTGATATTTGTAAACCTAATGAAAATTTCTCTAGTATAGGTAATGATTATTATAATCTGAATAATAAAAAGTTTTTATATTCTTTTTAATTTTTAGGTAATATTATAGAAGACACGGCAAATAAAAATGGATATTCTGTAGTACCAATATTTGCAGGACATGGCATAGGTACTTACTTTCATGGACCACCAGATATTTTTCACTTTGGTATGTTGTTCTTATGAAATAATATATAAATATACTATTTCCATATTGTATATCTTATATTGCTATTAGCAAATAACTTTGGTGGGAAAATGCTACCTGGAATGACATTTACTATTGAACCAGTTTTAAGTCAAGGAAGTGAAGAAGTTAAAATTCTAGAGGATGGATGGACAGCTGTTACAGTGGATAATGCACGAACTGCTCAATGTGAACATACTATTTTAATTACTGATATTGGCTGTGATGTATTAACTTGTTAATCTGGTAAATTTATTTTTTATTGCCTCAAATATATTTGATGAAAGCTCGTACAATAAAAATTCATTTAACAGGATCATATTATAGGTAAATATTTTTTATTAGGAAAAATTTATTTATATTTATTTTTATATAATAGCAGGTCCCCAGTAACTATCTAAAGTTAATGGTCCTTGTATTTCAACACCTCCTTCTCTTGTGATTATTCCAAGTTGATACTAAAAATTGAGAAAGTTGAATTTTTCTTATAGTATATTTCTTATAATATCAAATATATAAGAAGATATGCAGAATTCAGATATAGGATTCTTACTTTTGGGAAAGATCGTGCATCTCTATAAAAAAGAACTTGCATCACTTTGTATAGAAGCTCAATTGCTTGATCTTTAGTCATTTCTTTATTTTCCTCATAAGCTTTTCTTAAGATAGGTGTTGCCATATATGCACCATATCCTGTTGCTATCACTGGATCACTATAAGCTGTACCAAGTTTATCCACAGTACCCAAAAATCTATATAGAAAATTAAAAATATTATGCATATATATCAAAATAAGAAAAATAAAGTACTTACACTTTATCGCCCTCTAAACCACCAATAATGAAGTTATTCCAAAATGGATCAAAATGTGATCTTCTATTGTACATTACTCGAGTTAACCAACAATGAAGAGCTTTTGGTTTTAAAGATAAACCATCATCTAAACATTCTTCTTCTAGTCTATATAGAATAAAAAAATAAAATCATAAATAAAAGAATAATAAAATTAAAATTGTAAAATAATAATAAAATATATATATATATATACACATAACATACATTTTTCTTTCAATGTTACTTTTCAGACATTGGTAATCAGCGTAATCTCCACCTGCGCCCAGTATAATATTGTCATTGACTTTCATCACACGTTCAAGATTTCTGAATCTAGCCAGTGATCCATAGGATCCAAGAATATCTGCTGCTATAAGAACACCATCTTTAAATTGAATTCCAACCACTGATGTACCGGTTGTTATAGGGGCTCTGTAAAGTAATAAAACAGAATTTAGCTTGCACGAAAATGAACTCAAGGAGATTGGTGAGATCAAAACATCTATATTAAACAATTAAGTACAATATGATTCAACATTCATACGTTTCTCATCAAACCTTAATTTTACTGGATTATTGAGTGCGTAAATACTTTAATTACTTGCATATAGTTTTTAATTTTTATAAAAGTAGAGATGACATGCAATTTTCAAAAGAAACATTTTAAGGCAAAACGAATATATAACAAAGTATTTACTGTGATCTTTGAAATCCCCCAGCGTCAACGTGTGTAGAACCTCCAGGGAAATGATAAAAAGCACCTGGTGCCGGACCATTTTGCCAGAAAGGAGCTGGAGTATGCCAATCAGCTTTATTAAGAAGCGCCATGTTTCTTATAAGTTTGAAACAGTTTGAAATGTCATTCGGTTGAAGTCTGCGTTCGGACAGTCGGCAAGCTTGTTTTGTAAAAATTAGTCCCTATTGATCTCTAGATTCCCCATCTAGAGATATTTAATTTCTCCAGAAATCTGTTGCCTCGATTAATCTCGAACGCAATCGAAGATCTTGAAATTTCGATTCTCGAAGTTCAAAGGTTTTATCGTATTTCTGAAAGTGCAAAACTGTTGAACGTGTATCAAATTACCACAATATTATTGGTAATTATTGCATTATTATGCTATATGTTATTATAATATGCAACAATAACGTAACGTTGTTGTTATGCTGTATTTTCTAGATACTTTATTTCATATTTGTGAAATAATTACGTAAAACTTCATTCTCGGAGGACTGCTCCTCACATGTTGGTTGGAAATTCGAAATTATCACTTGTGCAGAAGAGAATTGGTTTAAAATAAATTTTCCAATAAATGACACGAATGAATCAATACACAATGTTCTGTGATATGCTGATGGAAATGGCGATTTTATTTTTTTCTAAAATTATATCAAGGTATTTTGTTGAATTAATTTTCGAACAAAAAATACTTTCAGGGAAAGTTTAAATTTATTTTTCGTATATTTTTATTTATTCAAATAGAAAATTTTTTTATTTCTATATACACAATTAATTGTAATAACATGCGATTAGTATAAACAGTGTGATATTTTGCATATTATACTTATTACAATCGGTTAGCATAAACGTAAAAATGGATAGACATTTGAAAGGAATATTTTCGATTGAGTAAAAATCAGTTTTTGGGATATATCGAATTTTTACAAAATTTTTTTGGTACAATTTCTTCAGCCATTATGAATTTACTTCAAATGTAATATATGAAAGACGCTAATGTTATTAAAATAAAACTATAAGAGACCCTCCCGACGGAAGATGCGTTATTGCCTTTGTTGTCATCGTCAGTGTTACCGTTGTTGTTGTTGTCAACATTGTTGTTTCCATTATCGTTGTTATTACCACTTTGAGATAAAACCATGTTGATTGATCTTAGTAAAGGATATGTAATTTCAGTTCTGTCTAGAGAGTCTTTCAAAGATGCGCACTTTCCATTAAAATCGTCGGTATCGATACTCCATGTCATTACACCAGCTAAATTCAAGCTCATTGCATGTTCAACCTGAAAAAGGACATCATAAAACTAAGGTGTATGATATCATTGTCATTTGTGATAGATATTAATTAACCTTCGCTTTTAAACTTTTTGGATTATCATATACTATAACGTGATCATTATCAACTGCGTAGGGAGTATCGCTGTTGTCATCCCAACCAGTTATCCAATTGTTTGTACGACTTACTAATTCTTCACAAATCTAAAATCATATATATTATGATTTTATTAAAAATAGAAAGAGATAAGTACTTTTCTATTAGCGGATTTAACGTATCCGATTTAACAGAAGTAAGACGTACCTCATTGTATCCCATAAAACCTTTTTCGCCAGTATAAGGACCCTTGAACCCATCTGAAGTGGCTGGTCGATTAATTGGACTTTCTTGAGATGAATTTAATTTGCTCGTTAATATAAATGTTCTTCCATACATAGGCAAGCCTAACACTGTTTTATTCGCTGGTGCACCTTTACGTAACAAATAATTGAGTGTATCCACCTAAACGAAAATGTTATTTCATCCTGTGTTCTATTTGTGATACTTATACTAGAGTGCAGACTTTTATCCATTTACGAGAAAGTTGCATGTGCAAAAATATACATAATATGTAGGAAATATATAAAATATCGAAAGTAAAATATTTATTATAATATATTTTTAGTGAATGAAATAAATTTTTGTTTAGCTTCTATTTCTGCATAAAATTCTACTTATCACTCATTGTTTATTTTAACATATTACCACGCTGTGACCGTTTTCGCTTTTTAATGGCGCATTTGGAAGCACTTTTTTATCCCATACTCCATGATAATCATAACCCATTACATGAATAAAGTCGAGATATTTGGAAATTTCGGGAATATCGTATGCGGTATCGATAGTTCCTTGATTAGCACTTAAAGCTGCCGTTAGCAGGTATTTCGACTTCTTGAACGCTTCTTTTAATTCCTGTTACGATGCATATAATTGATTTCTGGTTTAGATAAGATTATAAATTACTGTACGTTATGTTGTTCACCTTTACGAGAGCAATAAAATTTTCTCTGTCCTCCAAAATACCTCCTGATCCAGGATATTCCCAATCTAAATCGAACCCATTGAAATTATATTTTCTGCAAATTAAAAATTATTAGCAATTTGTTAGCAAAGTGTAGATATTAAATGATCTTAATATTTTATATTCTATACCCAAGGAAGTTTACTACGCTGTTGATAAATGTACTTCTTTGTTTAGGGGATGAAACGAGATCGGAATAATTTTTACTACCTTCGTTCCATCCTCCGATTGCAAGTAGAACTTTTAGATTCGGATGTCGTTCATGAAGTTGAGTCATATTTTTGTAATTACCTAAAATGTTATTGCGGCTATGAAGCGACAGTATCATTCATACGGATAATCTTTTAATCGAGTAAAATTATGCATTTACCATTCTCAATGTCTAGATAAGGATCGAGGCTCCTAATGGTCCACGATGTACTATTCAATCCTGCGAACGCATATACGAGGTGCGTGCAAAGCTCTGCAGGAATATTGGGTACTTGGAATTGTCCATTATTAGGTCTGTAAACGGCCCAGGAAGCAACATAACAAGTTACTACCTTGTTATGCTTAGACCTTAATAGAGCTTAGTGAAATAAGATATAACTTTAGTGCACAGTTATTACAGTTATTTTTGAGGGAGGGGAAGCTTAATTTTGATCATAGATTATTTATCTTTAAAATAATAAAATACGTAGATCTAAATCACGTTTATCCGATGTAGGATTGTTATTTATTTAACATAAATAAGTGAAATAGCAAATCTTTGAGATAACTCACTATTAATTTATTAATTACAGGTTGCGATTATTACAAATTACAATTATTTTTGCTTATTTATACGTCTTTGAGGAATGAAGCTAACAAATCTAATAGACGATTGGCATTGAAAGAGACATTAGATTTCCATTGCATAAGCTACCAAAGAAAATGTCAAATATATTCTTCTAGACTTTCCTTTCTTCTCATTGTATAATGTAAGTATTATCAAGTAATAATAATGTATTCTGCAGCTGGTTCACATAAAAGATTCTCTGTGTATAGTTTTTGATAAAACAGTAATTACTTTAACATGTCAATATTTTTATAGTAATATTTCTTATTGAGAAAGTGTTATCATATACTATGATACGTATATTGTAGATCAAGTAAATTTGTATATGAATACTGTTTGAAATTCAAGTTGCGCGCTAGTGATAGGGAAATGATTTTAATTTAATATGTACTCACCTAGAATACTATTGCTATTGAAGAGTAGTATTGTAAATAGAAACAAGAAATCGCACGCCTTCATTATCGAGAACCGCTACGCGAATGTCGAGTTATTGTCCTGGGAGATAGCTTTCACTCGACTACAGTACGGTACTTTTATTCTCGTCGTGGAGGGGAAAAAGAAAAGTAGTGGTTTGCGCATGTGGCTTGAAAAAGGACGGGACTAAAACCTGTTGTAAACTCTTATATAGGAATAGTATATCTATACGTGTACATAAATACTTATATATACATATTATATATACATATTTCTTGAACTGATATCAGGAAATATCAATAATTTACAATGATTATTAGAAACTTTACTTATTATTTAAAAATTAATATTATGGTCTTTTGTAATCAGAAATAAAATAAAAAATTAATATCTTTTAATCATTTAATTTTTCAAAAAATTATTTAGTGACCATTTTGACTATTAAAAAGAATTATCCTTCTTTAATAACTTTCTTTACGAAAATTTTAAAAATAATTGTTTGATTTTTGTTCATTCCAAAAGATTTTTTTTTGCAATTATTGATAGATGGCACAACCACATCCAAAATAAGATACTATTCTAATTTCAAAAAAGATTAATTTACGAGATCAATTTGTAAACTTTTGAAATAAAGCGTCGCGGGTTTTAACCAGGTAGCTTTCCTCAAAAATTTTATTTGATTTACAAAATGCACGAACAAAAATTTTCTAATTTTTTTAAGTACATCAAAATCCTATCTCTAATATTTCATTCCTTGCAAACTGTATTAGAAATTTAGATCAAGATTGTTCCTTTCTCTTGTTCCCTTTGCAGAGATGAAATAAAGAATGACTATTTAATGTTAAAATTTTTAGATTCTAAAGAGATTATAAACTGTGAAATTCAACACTTTCCTTATGATTATAAAATGTTACATATAAAAATTTCCAATCACAAGGGAATATTGTAATTTTATTTTACATTGATTCGATAATGTTTTTTTATTATTTCAGTTTGAAAAGATAGAATTTATAAACAAATTATATGTACTTATATTCATTCTATTTTCATGATCTATAGAAATGTGTCTTGATGTTATGTAGTGTATGGAATTAAAATAATTAAGAGTATGGTTTATAGTTTTATTCACTATTACTTAGTTTCAATCAAAATTTATAACTTTTAATGAATAGTTGTTTTTATCTATAGTAATAGTTTTTGATAGTTGATGCTGGTTTCTTTATAGATTTTTGTAATCTTATTTAGCATAACATTAAGCAGATGGAGATAGATAGTTATTTACTAATCATTACATATGATTATAATTAATTAATGCATTTCTTATTTTCATCTTCAATAACATACATTTGCATGTTTAGACAGTCTGTTTTTATAGTTTTCAATGGAAGTAAATTCTTGTTAATCATTTCAGGAGCATCTTCATTGATGATCCATGGAAAATCTTCACAATGGGGATTTTCATTTAAACTTACATGTGCAGTTTCATATGTCTCAATTTCAATGGAGAATGATGAATCTTCTGGCAATGGTTTTAGATAGGTTTCACACATGGATAGTTTCAGACAAATTGTTCTCAATGATTCTTCTGTTTTTAAATAGTATGGATCTTTCCTAAAATAAATTGAAGATTAGACAAATAATATAAAATTTTTCATAAACATACATACTCTGTACTGTTTGCTTGCAGTTTAGCAAGATCAAAGACAAATTTTTCAATTGGCTCTTTCTCTTTGTTATAAAATACGAGATTCACCGTTTTGACACTATTTTCATCTTCTTTTACCAATTCTCTAATTGCACTTAATACATTTTTTATGTACTCATTGAGTTCAGGATGTTCAGACACATAAATGCATATGCTGTATATTTTCTTCTTCACAAATATTTCCTTTGGATATAAATTTCTGAAGAACAGGATCTGGTTGAATGCTACTTCTAAAAATTCCAGCAGAATGTCAGTAGCAACTATAAAAAAGAAGGAATATATCCCATTGTCTATTAACATTTTATTTCCATTTTCTAATAAATTAACAAATAATGTTTACCTATTTTATCATCAGACATATTTTAGCATATTTATAAAACTATTGACCAACTAGGATAGACCAGAAATCCAATGTTTTGTTATGTCCAACGTCCCATGTTCTATATTTACTTGATATTCCTTATCGTTTTCGTGTCACATCCTACCATATCGATTTAGGTAGGTTTTTATCGAAGCGCTATTAGTAATATAGAATTAAAATCTAAATAATTTTTTCTATTGCCTCAGATATTTACGTTCTTTCTTAAAAAAAAATTGTATTCACTCCTTAAAATAAAATCAACTTTACTGTTATACATTTTTTTCACAAATTATAACAGTTTAAATTATTGTATTTTTCATCAAGTGCGTGAATATTTTAAAGAATTTCTTATGAATTTTGTATATTTGATTTAGGCCAGAGTTTTTTATCTTTATTTCCAGTTAACATTTCGGGTGGAACGTGCGATTGCAGCGCTCAACGGTGAAATATGCAATATACTTACCTACGATTCTCGAATATATCGATATTTCTCACGATTTAAGCGGGAACAATGGCGGAATGAAGTTTACACCCCGTCTGTAAAGAAGGAAGTATAATTTGGAAAAGTCATTAGGAAAGAAGTGTTATTCGGAAGTGCTGAGGTAAAAATATAAATTAATAGTTGTTAAATTTGTGTTTGTTATGAATTTTTAAAATAAAACGTGCATTCTTAGCTTCGACTCAAGGTAAGATTTAACCTAACAGTTATACATATAATTTTCAACACATACAGAAATAATAGCATATAAACATTTCAATAGAATACTGTGTTACAAGTTATTTATAATTTTATATGATAATTTTATTTCAATTTTCGCCATGACAAATATTGCAATCTTGTAACTGATTAATTCATTGTTACATATACACGTAATTTATTACATGCCTTTATATACGTTTTTAATATAATATTTCCTACTTATTTGTCGAATCTTTGACTTCATACTGCTTAATTCTCAACAATTCTAATACTAAATTCAAGAATAATTTATTAAGAATGTATGTATTTAATAGTTAAAATAATAATTGTACTGCGAAGCATAAAATAAAATAAAATAAAATTTCCCATTCCTCAGTTTGACGTAATGACAATTTTTTATGTAGTGTATAAATATTTTCATTTTTTTGAGAATTTAGGATAGAGTTTTTTATTTTTTATTTCTAGTTAACATTTGGTGTGGAATGCGCGACTGCAGCGCTCCAACGGTGAAATATGCAATATATTTCCTATGATTCTCCAATATATCGATATTTCTCACGATTTAAGCGGGAACAATGGCGGAACGAAGTTTACACCTCGTCTGTACAGAAGGAAGTATAATTTGGAAAAGTCATCAGGAAAGAAGTGTTATTCGGAAGTTCTGAGGTAAAAATATAAATCAATAGTTGTTAAATTTGTGTTTGTGTTATGAATTTTTAAGATAAAACGTGTATTCTTAGCTTCGACTCAAGGTAAGATTTAACCTAACAGTTATACGTATAATTTTCAATAAATACAGAAATAATAGCACATGAACATTTAAATAGAACATACTGTGCTACAAGTTATTTATAATTTTATACGATAATTTTATTTCAATTTTCGCCATGACAAATATTGCAATCTTGTAACTGATTAATTCATTGTTACATATACACGTAATTTATTACATGCCTTTTTATACGTTTTTAATATAATATTTCCTACTTATTTGTCGAATCTTTGACATACTGCTTAATTCTCAACAATTCTAATACTAAATTCAAGAATAATTTAGTAAGAATATATGTATTTAATAGTTAAAATAATAACTGTACTGCGAAGCATAAAATAAAATAAAATAAAACTTCCCATTCCTCAGTTTAACGTAATGACAATTTTTTATGTAGTGTATAAATATTTTCATTTTTTTTGAGAATTTCTTATGAATTTTGTATATTTGATTTAGGCCAGAGTTTTTTATTTTTTATTTCCAGTTAACATTTGNTATACGTTTTTAATATAATATTTCCTACTTATTTGTCGAATCTTTGACATACTGCTTAATTCTCAACAATTCTAATACTAAATTCAAGAATAATTTAGTATATATGTATTTAATAGTTAAAATAATAACTATACTGCGAAGCATAAAATAAAATAAAATAAAACTTCCCATTCCTTAGTTTAACGTAATGACAATTTTTTATGTAGCGTATAAATATTTTCATTTCTTTGAGAATTTCCTATGAATTTTGTATATTTGATTTAGGCCAGAGTTTTTTATCTTTATTTCCAGTTAACATTTGGTGTGGAACGCGCGATCGCAGCGCTCCAACGGTGAAATATGCAATATACTTCCTATGATTCTCCAATATATCGATATTTCTCACGATTTAAGCGGGAACAATGGCGGAACGAAGTTTACACCTCGTCTGTAAAGAAGGAAGTATAATTTGGAAAAGTCATCAGGAAAGAAATGTTATTCGGAAGTTCTGAGGTAAAAACATAAATCAATAGTTGTTAAATTTGTGTTTGTGTTATGAATTTTTAAGATAAAACGTGCATTCTTAGCTGCGACTCAAGGTAAGATTTAACCTAACAATTATACATATAATTTTCAACAAATACAGAAATAATACCACATGAACATTTAAATAGAACATACTGTGCTACAAGTTATTTATAATTTTATATGATAATTTTATTTCAATTTTCGCCATGACAAATATTGCAATCTTGTAACTGATTAATTCATTGTTACATATACACGTAATTTATTACATGCCTTTATATACGTTTTTAATATAATATTTCCTACTTATTTGTCGAATCTTTGACTTCATACTGCTTAATTCTCAACAATTCTAATACTAAATTCAAGAGTAATTTATTAGGAATGTATGTATTTAATAGTTAAAATAATAATTGTACTGCGAAATACAATAAAATAAAATAAAATTTCCCATTCCTCAGTTTAACGTAGACAATTTTTTATGTAGTGTATAAATATTTTCATTTTTTTGAGAATTTAGGATAGTTTTTTATTTTTTATTTCTAGTTAACATTTGGTGTGGAATGCGCGACTGCAGCGCTCCAACGGTGAAATATNGCAATATATTTCCTATGATTCTCCAATATATCGATATTTCTCACGATTTAAGCGGGAACAATGGCGGAACGAAGTTTACACTTCGTCTGTACAGAAGGAAGTATAATTTGGAAAAGTCATCAGGAAAGAAGTGTTATTCGGAAGTTCTGAGGTAAAAATATAAATCAATAGTTGTTAAATTTGTGTTTGTGTTATGAATTTTTAAGATAAAACGTGCATTCTTAGCTTCGACTCAAGGTAAGATTTAACCTAACAGTTATACGTATAATTTTTAACAAATACAGAAATAATAGGATATAAACATTTCAATAGAATATACTGTGTTACAAGTTATTTATGATTTTATACGATAATTTTACTTCAATTTTCGCCATGACAAATATTGTAATCTTGTAACTGATTAATTCATTGTTATATATACACGTAATTTATTACATGCCTTTATATACGTTTTTAATATAATATTTCCTACTTATTTCTCGAATCTTTGACTTCATACTGCTTATTCTCAACAATTCTAATACTAAATTCAAGAATAATTTAGTAAGAATATATGTATTTAATAGTTAAAATAATAACTATACTGCGAAGCATAAAATAAAATAAAATAAAATTTCCCATTCCTCAGTTTAACGTAATGACAATTTTTTATGTAGTGTATAAATATTTTCTTTTTTTTTGAGAATTTCTTATGAATTTTGTATATTTGATTTAGGCCAGAGTTTTTTATTTTTTATTTCCAGTTAACATTTGGTGTGGAATGTGCGATTGCAGCGCTCCAACGTTGAAGTATGCAATATACTTTCTACGATTCTCGAATATATCGATATTTCTCACGATTTAAGCGGGAACAATGGCGGAACGAAGCATATCTCGTCTGTAAAGAAGGAAGTGTAATCTGGAAAAGTCATCAGGGAAGAAGTGTTATTCGGAAGTTCTGAGGTAAAAATATAACTCAATAGTTGTTAAATTTGTGTTTGTGTTATGAATTTTTAAGATAAAACGTGCATTCTTAGCTTCGACTCAAGGTAAGATTTAATCTAACAGTTATACGTATAATTTTCAACAAATACAGAAATAATAGCATATAAACATTTCAATAGTATATACTGTGTTACAAGTTATTTATAATTTTATACGAATTTTTCATTTCAATTCTTACCAGTACAAATATTATGATCTTGTAATATAGCACAAGATAATGAAAGTAAGATTTTGAAGCTTTTCATGCTGATCTTTCTTTGATTATTGATTTCACTCTTACGGTCTCGTTCGCTTTTTTGATAGAATTTGTAGTTGATTATCGTTTCACTTTTACATACTTACCTCATTTGATATATTTGTTCTGATGTTTCGTTTCTTTTTTCGCAGGTTATTCCTTGGTTACAAAGATAGCATAGAACGCTACGAACATATTAATGAACAATCCAATGCACTTTTACGGAAAGTTGGTTTTACTTAGGACATTGTATTTATTTTGGGTAACATTTTCTATATAATTTATATATATTCAAAATTTAAGTCACAATACGTAATTTCGCAATTATATGGGATACAAGGATGAAAATGGATATCAATTAATATTTTATTTCGAACATGGAGATCGTAACTTAATGGTATATATTTTCAAATGGATATATGTTCTTGTATTAGATTATTAAATTCAAAGTTTTCGTACTTTGCTACAATATGCTTACTATTTTCAAACGCTAACAGGCAATACATATTCAAATTTCTTCATAATCATTCTAGAAATATAGCAGTGTTTTCTAAATAAACATACTCCTCACCCTTCCTCTACTAATCAACTTTATTTTCAGAAAACTTTTGTGATCGCGTGCAATGCGGTTAGTAGAATCAGTGTTTGTTGCGTAATATTTTAATACTTGTAATAGTTTAATACTCTGTGCGAAATATTACTCTTATTAATTTATTTGAATTTAATTCGCGAAGTTAGAGCCAGTGAGTTTTTTTTTTCATATTTTTTCATGTACAATATTTGTTTTCGGAGTCAGTGCTCAAGAGGATAAGGCCTCTCCAGGAGATCAAGATCGTAAGTAGTTTTATATATTGTACTTCAATTTATCCAATTTTTCAAATTTAACAACAAAGTATAATGTTTGATGTTTTTTATTACAGACGCTTCACATCAGCAACAATTTTTTGGGGGAGGGGGGGAATCCAACGATGTCTCTACAGCAGAAAATGTAAGAATCTTTTTCATTATCGTCAATTTAAGATTTTGCTTTGCTTTTAAACATAAATTTTGATGTTTAACGTTTTGTTACAGATTTCTTACACTCTCCACTTCCCCTAATCTTCTAAGGATCTTATCATGCTTCGAAAGCTAAAAATGTAAGTACTTTAGCTTGTTGTACTTGAATTCTCTATAGTCCCTGTTGAAGTCGAATGTAAAATTATAATTATAAAATAAAAACATCTTAAACTATTAGTTTCAATTTTTGTCATTATAAAAATTTAAATTTTCACAAACAACACTGTTTTCACAAATCTAAATCATAAATAATATTTTTCAGGAAATTTTTCACTTCTGTCATGGGATTCTCAGTGATGTCTATTTGAAGAGGATCTTCACAATAACTTTCCTCCAACTCTGCTCCAGTGCAGCATCGATGATAACATTCTTCACATCCATCCTGTGAGTCGCATGTATTTATGTTCCTCCGGTCACTCAATCATGTCGTAGGATGAAAGGTCTGAATCGGCACGGGTGACTGGTTGTATACGTAGAATTTTTGATGAGCATAGTGACCGCGGGTATTTTTTATATCCGTTTTATTTTTTCAAGATTTTTATGTATATAGATTAGGATAGGGCTTCTTGCATTTCGCGAGGTCTAACATGTGACTTGTAAGGGTGTGAGCCCTTTTAATAAATAGTTTAAGTATATATTTTTTTGTATAATTTAAATATAGTTAATAATTACTTATAAAATCAAAATATCTTCAATATAAATGTTTGCAAAAGTAAAATATCCATATGAATATCTATATGAATAAATAAATGGTATCTATTATCTTCATAGTAGAGAAGACGGATACCCTCCGACTTCGTTACTATGAAAGATGCAGTTATTACTTATTGATATCGGTAATATATTTTGTATAGTAATTAATAATTAACAATTGTTATAATAATTTCCAATTTAATTTTCTCTTTTATAATAGTATTATTTGATTGAATTGATTAAGTTTTATAATTATGAACTTCAGTAGAATTTGAAATTAGATTCTTTTCCGTAAAAAGATGTATAAAATTTTATGTGCAAGAAGATGATTCGCGATAGGTAGATTTTTGAATCAAAGCGACAAGTTTATACATTACTTTTCCATTTTCAAAAATGCGCTTTGATGCAGAAGTTGCCTGAGATTATTTCTATTAATATTTAATTTGAAGTCAATTGTTTGATTTTGATTGTTTGAGTCAATTGTTAGAGTGTTCATAATATCTTTTTTAACAAATTCAAGTCTAGTTCATTGTCTTTATTCTCTTGCAATTTCAATAATTTCTGAAAGAATAGAGTCATTACGGTTTGAAATAAAATAATGCAGTCCGTTAGATACAAATTACATAAACTAATTATTTTTTTAGTTCAGGATTTTCAGGTTTAACCCCTTCCGTGTTCATTGTCAGGATCTCACTCACGTGCCCAGGTGCTACTTGGGTGGGTGAAAGACATTGGGCACGATGACCATAGTCTGTAATTTTCTAAAAAATTTCTCAGCGACTGACAGTGTGTTAGCGCATCGTGCACGACGTATTTTCCGCATGTGTGTGTGTGGTTAGGATGTGGAATTGCGTCGTTTCTATTGTTGCATTCATTATTCCATCATTTCTATTGTTGCATTCATTATTGAAATATTAAAAATATTTATGCCATAATTTGAAATGCAAGAAGTATGAATTTATTATCTTAATACTTAGTAAATACACTATACATTGTTATTATTATAACTATACTATCAATTATAATAATGATTCCAAGTCAACTTGTACGTGTAATTTCTGTAGAAATTATATGTATTTTTTCTCAGTTATTAATATTAGCTGTAAATATGAACGTGTTTTAATCACGTTTTACGCAATGGTCGCTAGCTATTGTCAGTCGATTTCAGGAAAATGGTACGTAAATTAGAGTGTGAAAGTTGTGCGTTGAGCTCGGGTGTCGGAGGCGTCCCGGGACGTTCTCTCTAGTTT